CCCGCGGCTTCATTGCCACCCCTCGGCTTGATTGCTACCCCGCGGCTTCATTGCCACCCTGCGGCTTGACTGCCACCCGTGGCTTCATTGCCACCTGTGGCTTCATTGCCACCTGAGGGCTTGATTGCCACCCCGCGCCTTCATTGCCACCTTGCAGCTTGATTCCCACCTTGCGGCCTCATTGCCACCCCGCGGTTTCATTGCCACCCCGTGGCTTTATTGCCACTTCGCGGCTTCATTGCCACCCCGCGGCTTCATTGCCACCCTGCGGCTTGACTGCCACCCGTGGCTTCATTGCCACCCTGCGGCTTGACGCCAACCCGTGGCTTCATGTAAACTCATGTCTGCATACATATCGCTTCATGAAAAAAGTTTCTTGTGTTTCACTTGTGCCAATATGAGAGATTTGTTGGGGAAATGTAACGAGCATGAGCTTGGAAAGCCTCTGGTTCCATTTGCAAAAATCATGAGATCTTTGGGAACCCTTTTTACAAGTCCTGCATTCGTGACTTCTGTGCGACGTTCTTGAGTAACATTTACATTCTATGGTGTAATCGCTTCTTGCATGTAACCGAACAAAATATAAAGATTCTTCAACGTAACGTGCCATGCACCTTAGACGTCACTTGAACGTTAATGCCACTCCATCCCACCCCACCCACTGCATCAGCGTAAGACATCTGGACCGTAACGTGCCACTCACCTTCCACGTAACTTGAATGTAAAAGCCGCTCCATATTAACACCGAAACCTCCCCCACTGCATCTGTAAGACCTCTTCCACGTACCGTGCCATGCACCTGACACGCAACTTGAACGTTAATTCCCCCCATTCACTTCTCCACCCCACCCCCCCTACTGCACCACCCCACTCCATGAAGATCTGCACCTCCAAACCTTTGAACATCAATTTCTCCACCCGCATTTTCGTCACATAGGTCTTTGAAATTGACATGCATGCCCTGCTGCATTTCGCTTCTACCAAATCTATTTACTGACCACCCAATGTTCGAACATGCTCTGAACAATCTATCCAAATTTCAAGTTTTACTGTGCTTCGCCATTTTGCAGGTATGACTCCTATCACTTGCTCGTTGGGTTGCCATCCTCCATGTACAACGTCTGTGCTATGCAAAAGTTTCTGCAACAACAGCCGCTTGCAACAGTTTTCTTTTAATTTGCAAGCACGAATAATTCAATCACACGCAGCTCTTCAAACTCTCAAGTGAGTTGCTCACTCGCTTCAGCGCGTTTTAAACTTCAAAGTGGGGCAGCCTCTCTTTCCATGCTTTTCTGGCCGAGCCTTTCCATACTGATTGCATTCTCGCGTGCAGCTTAAGCGCTCAAAATCGCAACTTGTGTCTGTCACTACGCCGCTCCCTTTTCTCCCTTGTTCAAGGGCCGGACTTCAGACCTTTCAGCTGGTGTTTACTTTGCTCGCTTGCCACCTTGGGCTTCTCATCTCCGCTCGGGACAGCTCGGCTTTCCCGCCAGGATGGCGCGCTTTTTCAAGCTCAGTACCTTCGCTGAGGCGATGTGCATGTGCATGCAAGCTGACACCTCACACTTTTGCACTGCATGTCAGGTCGAAGACGAGATTCTGGTCTTAAGCAACTTGTTTGTCTGGAGCGGCCGCACCGCGTGGGCTGATCTTCATGACGAGGACGGGGGGGGTCAGGCTTCAATGCAATTCGTTCAAAGCTGGCTAACCTAAGGATGCCACCTTCCATATCCAGTTCTATTTACGTGTCCTTGCTTCAGATCTTCACCTATATACTAGAACGCTACTCCTTCTTGCGTCGAATGCGGCCTCTGCATCTTCCACTTCCATGGCCCTTCCCTTTACACGTCAGGAATTTGGCCCCGAACTTGCAGCAAGTCCCACGGCAGCGGCTTCTTGTGCAGAGGCGCAAGCATGCCGAACAGGTTTCAGCTTGTGTGCCCTTCTCATGCTGCAATTTTCACATGTCACACTTCACGTCCGGGGTCTTTTGCTGTTTCACATGGCCTTTTCTGTTTATACCGTCATTCTTTTGACACAGTTCGCCGGGGCACGTTCTCAATCTTTTTTTTGCATTGCATCTCGCGCAGGACTCGGATGATTTCCAAAGTGTTGCTTCCTACTTCTCGGTGGAAGACTCAGAGGAGATCGCGCGGTTTTGATGCTGCAACTATTTTTGGTTTTATTCAAATGTCAAACCTGTGTTTTGATTGACACTGTCTCGTTTTCGCGCTTCACGCAGTGTTCGGATCATTGTATTTCCCGTTTCCTTGCCTGTATACCCTTTTCTGTTTATACAGTCATTCTTTTAACACAGTTAGCTGGGAGCACGTTCTCACTCTGTTTTTTGTGGCATTCCATCTCGCGCAGGCGTCGGATGATTTCCAAAGTGTTGCTTCCTACTTCTCGTTGGAAGACTCCAAGGACATCGCACGGTTTGATGCTTCAACTATTTCTGTTTTTGCTACGTCCGTCTCTGGTTTCATGCAAATACGAAATATGTCGTTTGCCTAACACTTTCGCGCTTCGCGCAGTGTACGGGTCGTTGCACGTTCATTTTTGTTGCATATATCCTTTACACTGTATACCCTCATGCTTTCAACACAGTTGTTCAATGCACGTTGTGAATTTCCCTTTTGTTGCTGTTTGTTTGCTTTTAGGTGCGAGTGACGGCCATTCACACGACTGGTTCGGATTCTTGTCTAGATTTTTTTGTCCGAAGTGTGCGCGCCAGGATTTCCTTCAGCTTCGCGATCTACAGTGCGGGCAGCCACACCCTGCATTCGCAGGACACCGCTTCTGCCGCTTGCACCACAGCGCAATCAACCAATCCTTTCGCCGCTCGTCCTTTCTTCCCCCGAAAGCAAAAGTGCTTGAGCCGGATGTCCGAATTCACGCTCCCGTTCCTTCGGGTTGGCGCGCATTCAATGTGCAGGGCGATGGACGGTGCGGATACAGAGCTCTTGCGAAATTCTTAGGAATTTCTTGGACGGATGTCATGCAGCGACTCCTTCCGTTGATGCTGGCCGCGCAGCACACCTTCCAGCCTCATGAGCTCATGGCTTTTGTGATGGCCATGGACCCTGCCAACCCCTGCTCCCGCGCAGCTTGGCTGTCGCACCGCCACATTTTGTTGCTCAGCCAGCTGCGCGATTGGTTTCCGGACGGCATCGCAGTTCGCAAACTTCACGCCGGCCTTGACTTCATCCATTTTCAGCCTGATGGCGATGTGCAACTGGCGTCTCACATTTCTTCCGCATCTGTTTGCGTTCTGGGACTGCTTAGCATCCGTGCCCCCCATTTCGTTCTGCTTCACTCTACTCCTTTTGAAAAGTCGCGAGCGGGGTTGCTTGGGCGATCTTCTGCCTTGCCTGCGGCCCGTGCCATGCAGCCATCGAGTTTGGATTTCGCCGGCGGCTCTTTTGCTTGCATGGTGCCGACCAACTTTGAGGATAGACCTTTGCGTTTTGCTTCCGCAGAACGGTCCTGGAGTCTTGCTCTTCCAGAGCAGCAACTTGTCACTTTCACGCTGCGCTCTCTCCTGTCCGGCGCTCACCTCTGCACTGTGACGCTGCCAGTTTCGGACCTCTGGAACAGATCGCTCCACATGGTTCTCATCAAAGTCATTGCTAATGTTTTGCAGGCGTCGCCCTTCCACCTGCGGTTGTTTGCGTCCTCCAACGTGGTCTGTCCAACCCCGACTGGCCCGCAGCTTGCGCCGCTTGTGTCCGTCAAGCTTCTGCGGATCCCAACGCGCAAAGACTTAGCTGACGAGCTCCTCCGAGCCATTGACTTGAATGACGTTGCTTGCGCTCAGGAGCTGTTGTTTGATGGGCAGTGCCCCAATCACCCTGCAGAAGGCACCCTGCACCCTCTGTATGCAGCCCTGAACAAGAAGAATGTAGATATGGTCCGCGCTCTCCTCCTGGCGCGCGCTGATGTCGCTTGCCGGTATGATTTCGGCGGCACCCCGTTGCATTTGGCTTGCAGGCAAAGCATGCCAGCAGCTGTTGATCTTTTAGTCAACGCCAATGCCCCGGTGGATGCAACTGACGTGGAACAAGATTCGGCCCTCCATGTCGCTGCACTTTATGGGGATGCTGCCTGTGTTCGGCTGCTGCTTGCCGCATCAGCGCCAGGCGCGAGCCGCAACCTCCGCCTGGAGACCCCTCTCACCGTTGCTGTGGACACAGGTGCGCCGGTTGCTGTCGTTGCTACATTGATGCAAGCTGCTTGGCCCGACAGCTGGCAGGTTCTTTTCCAAATGGATTTATTCCATATTTGCCGGGCGTTGGGCTTATGTCGTTTTCCATTGTTTGCAACTTGCGGCGCGTTGTCTTCCCAACGAGACTGTTATCCTTTGTTGTCCGGGGGTGTAATCTTGCGCGAAAGCGCAGAAAGCAGCAACATATTGGAGGCGCTGGAGCCTGAGATCCTCGTCCAAATTCTGCACTACGCTCTCTCTCCGCAAACTTTCTGCTACACAACGCGCGTCTCCAATGAATTTTGCGAGCTAGTCCAATCACCGCATACTTGGCCCGGAAACTTGCGCCTCGCACCATGCACATGCCAGCGCCTCTGTGCGAACCTCTGTCTTCGAGCGGTTGTCCAGGCAGTGCCCCATTCATGTCCTTACTCCCCTGTTGCCCATTTGACTTTCGCGCTCGCGCCGCGGCCCCGCAATCCATTGTGGTCCTGGCATCACTACCATGCTGAGCCTCATGGCGCCAATTTCTGGTTCACGAGTTCTGCTTCTCCTTCACCGCCGGTGTTCGCTTTGAATTTATCTTTTGCACGCTGTGCTGGTTTGGCGGAGTGCCCGGACTTGGAATTGCTTCTAGGGGTTTTTGCTTCCGGCTTTTCTTCTTTGCAGGGTTTGCTTCACTTGAGCACCTTCCCCCCCGACGCCCGCAATGTGGCTGCTGCGAAGCTCAACATCAATTCCGGCCAGTGCTGCTCCTTGGCCTCTTTCCTCACACATGACAGTTTCCAAGCCAACTCATGTGATCTGTCGTTGGCCGGCATCGCTCCACAAAAGTTAACTTTTGCATGTCGCCAGCAAGACCAAATCTGCTGCCTGTTTGGCAATGACGGTTCTGTGCTGCTGCAGTGGCGCTGCGTCGGTTTGCCAAAGAACACGCCGTTAAACTGTTTCGTGGCGTTGCATTCTCCATCGGCTCCCCTGTCCAATTTGGCGCCCGCTCCGTCAAACGGCTTCCGGCGGCCGGTGCGGGTGACACAGGCGCGCTTGCATCAAGGGGTTGGCCTCGCTCGCGTGCTGCCGTGCCTGGACCTATGCGGGGGCTTCTGGGATCGACTGCCGCAGACTTGTCAGCACACAGTTTTGGCGTGTTTGTGTGCTCTTAACGATCTTGTGACGTTCCTACAAACGCACAGAGCCGCTTGTGCCTTTCTGATCGATGCGAGTCAGCACAATGCACTGGTCGCGTCTGTTTCCCCTTGCTGTTGCACGAGGCTGTGTTTGAACAAATGCATTGAAGCGCTGCTGTCCCAAGGTTTTCCGATCCACAAGAAGTTCCTTTTGGGGTGTTTCAACCCGCGCTCCTTCCCTCCTCTTCATCGAACATGGCAAACTTTCCACTCTGTTGACTTTCGCCACGTCGTTCGGATGGCTTCGCGCATTTCCCCTTCAGTTTCCACGGCCGTCATCGAGTTGTCGCCCGTGTTGCTCGGGCAGTCGCAGCTCTACTTGACAATAGGCATGAGCACGGGACCTCACCCTGCAGCAGTTGCTTGGCCACACCTCTTCAGCCTGCAGGCCCCATTTTCCCAACGCGGGCTTCAGCTGGAGATCCGAGATGGGCGTTGCAACGGCGCGCGCTGGTGCACAGAAGTCGAGCGAATGCAAATGCACGCGCTGCGCCCCATCGATTTTTCGCGATGTCAAACTTTCACCTTTGTATGCTCTCCTGCAAGTGTTGCGCTGTTTGATTCCCGTGGGGACTTGGTCTCGCTTTGTCCGCAGCCTTGGCCGGCCACAGAGTCGAATGAGCTGAAAGGCTTCATAGGCTTAAGGGGCGCCGCACCTTTGCCCCGCCCGGACCGGGACACCACAATTATTCAGCCAGTCTTGACTCAAGCTCGTCGCGAAGCCTTGCAGCTGCAGCCTCTGCTGCGTATCGTCGGGCCACATGTGTTGCACATTGGTCCCTTGACATTGACCGGCGGTGGCAAGGCGAGTGGATCCAAAGCCGGCAGCCGCCGCCCAACCGACCCGCGTTCCACCAAGGCTCACCGCCAAGACGTGGCCATGCCCAAACGGGCTTTGATCATCAAACGCAAGTGGGCCGAGCTCATTCTTTCAGGCGAAAAAACGTGGGAGGTTCGCGGGGAGCCGACCACGAAGCGGGGAAGGATTGCGATCGCACAAGCTGGTTCCAAACAATTGGTGGGGGAAGTCACCCTGGCCGAATGCTTTCTCATCGGTGAGCAACCTTCACCTGGCGTTTGGGTTTCCACGGGCCCTCCTTCGCAGTACATTTGGGCACCCGACAACGCAAACAAGCATTGCATTACTGACCAATCGTCGGTGAACTACAAGAAAGCCTATGCGTGGGTCATGGAACATGCGCGCAAGTATCCTGCGCCGCGGCCGTACACCCACAAACCAGGCTGCATGAAGTGGGTTAAGCTGGATGGCGGTAGTGTGGCCCAATTTTCAGCCGGCGCAACCAGCGCGGCAGGCAACCCTTTGTGGTGCGACGCAGTGGATTCCGACTCCACTGGATCTGTTTCTGTCACCTCGGCCGCTGCTTCCGCTCCAGTGGTATTTTGCGACGATCATTTCCATTTTGAGTCTTCGCCAAGCCGGCTGCTTTCCCCGAATCGAACGCCCGCTTCGACATTGCTCGGCGCCAGTTGCCCCGGTTCTCCGCGCCTGCGTGCTCCTCACAGTCCAACTGTTACTGTTGGGGAGGTTCCGGCGATTTCACTGTCAGCGGCCCTCCTTCGTGACGATGCTTCTGATTCTAGTTCTGATGCCTGGGCAGACGCGTTTTTGGCTTTTCTTTCTTCCAACTGCAGAGCTTCCTCGTTCTTTCAGGCGTTGCAGAACGCGTGTGGCTTGCGTTCTGCTTGCTTGGCAAAGACTTGCGCGCAGCTGGCTTTAACTTCGTCTGCGTGGCATTGCTTCTTCTCCCATCCAAAACGCTTTTCTTCTGAGCTTCCTTTCTCCTTCATTCAAGACGTCCACTCCCACCTTTCGTGTGCGCCGCTACTGCTTTGGATCCTTCCGGCCGGTGATCTGCTTCTCTTGTCGGATGGTTCGAGCCGTATGAAGGCAGTGTTGTGGATTTTCCAACGATTGTTTTCAACTCTACCAATGCTTGGTTCTTTCCCGTGGTGATGACATTGCGCCCCATTGTTGTCCCAGCGTTGAGCTCTTGTCCCGCAGTCGGATATCTGCACCTTCTCGTTTTTGGATTGGCTCCCACGCTTCTACCTCCGACGGAAAACCTTTTCCATTGCTTCAAAACTACGCGCTTGGAATGCGTAGGTCACTTGGAGACGCTGCGTGACACAGTAGCGTTGTCCATTTGCCCTTGCATCCTGGAAATGGGCCAGCATCTTTGTGGTCGGGGGCTCTCGCAGCTTGCTCTTGTGTTGGCTCCTGCAGAGCCTGTAGACCTTTTGATCCTGGACAGCAACAGTTGTTTGTTCCACGTCTCCAGCTTCCACACCTTCCAGCGAATTGAATGGGGCGCCGCATTGCTCCGGCTTAAGAACCCAAATTGTTTCCTGTTCGTTTTCATCCATTCGACCAAGCATTTTTTGCAAGCGCTCTTGCGCGTTCCAGGTTCCACTGGTCACGCCGAGGCTTGGCTAGGCCGGGCGCAGCCCACGGCTCATGCAGCGTGCGTGGCGACCGTTCCATTGAACCTGGCAGAACCCACGCTCACCGAGCGGCTCAGCCGTGAAGCGCTGACAGTTTTTACGCCATGCGAGTTACTCACTTCCTCGCCAGACGCTGCCAGTTGCACAGCGGGTGCGTCGGGCCCTGCGCAAATGGAAGACGACTCAGTCAATGCCTGTATAGCCTCGCCGGGCAATTTGCTTCGGGGTACACCTGAAGACTTCAACCGAGCTTTTGCAGACGTGTACCGCAAAGATCCAGAAAGAGCAAAGCTGATCTCTCGATACATCCTTGCCGACCTTGCCCCCTTCCCACATGAGCAGCTGAAAAATGCCTTGCCGGACGTCTATTCAATGACAGACAACCTTGCCCAAAAAGCGGGCTGCCCCTTTGAATGGGCTTTCCTCCTTTTTCTACCCGTTCTTGGCACTGCATGCTCCAAAGCCAGGCTGTTCATCAACGAATTTTTCCTCGTGCCGCCGCTGCTTTGGTTGGGCTTATGCCTCGACAGCGGCGCAAACAAAAGCGGCATCATGACAGCCTTGGCAGACATCGTCTCTGGCTTTGAAAAGGAGTTGCTCCAAAAGGCGCTGGACGAAGCTCGTAAGGAAGCGCAGCTGGCAGAAGAGGAGGAGGATGCACACGGTGCGGAGCCAGATGAGCCTTCGTCAAAAAAACGCAAGACCTCCTTGTCGAAAGCATTGGCGGCCATCCACAACAACAAGCCCGCCTTGTTTTCCGACGAAGGCTCGTTGCCCGCCATTGGCATGCAAATGGCGCACAACGGGCACCGGGCTATTGGATTATATGATGAAGGCCGGTTCCTTCTCCGAGCGCTGGCCAACGGAGAAGGTTCCGGATTTAATGCCTCCACTATGTCCAAGCTCTTTAATGGCTCCATTTGGAAAAGGACGGTTGTGAAGGATAACAACCGCTTCTCCATGCACCAGACATGCCTTTGTTTAGCAATGACTTTCCATGTCGAGGAATGGCATGACTTTCTGGCCAAAGATGGTGCCTTGGGCATGCAAAGTCGGTTTCTCATGTTTCACAGCAGCCCCCGCCTCGAGAAAGCAGACGCAGTCCTCGAACCTGCGGTGTATTCCACGGGGGCTGCGCGCTCTCGAGGTGCGCCGGTCCTTCCAGCTTCATTGCTCACCCAGTTTGTTTCTGTCCTCACAAGAATCGAAAACGTTCACACTGCAAATGCTCCTGATTTTGATGCGTCGCGGGAATTCATTCCATATTTCTTTGCCCCCGATGCCTTGGATTATTTTCGAGAGCACTACGACGCCCAAGTTCTCACGCAAGAACAATCATACTTGCAGGACCCAAAGCTTTTCAGCCATGCCGGCAAACTGAAATCACTTCCCTGGCGTTTGGCTCTGTTGTTGCATTCTTGGGCGCGTGCGTGTTCTGCCGCCGATCAGTCAGGCACGGCTTGGAGCAGAGAGCTTTCTCGCGAAGTCGTGGAGCCGGCTAAAGCTATTTTCGATTATTTGTCCTTGCAGTCTCAACTGCTCGCGCCGGGATCCAACCTCGTCAGCACCTTGGACACGCACGACTTGCGCGAGCTTGCTGCGCAGAGGTATCCGTATCTTATCACTTTGATCGAAACCGACACTCTCCCAACTGCTCGCGCAGAAGCTGCCCCTGCCAATTCGTTGCCGGATGCTAGCCCGTCTTTCACTGTTTGGTGGGAAGCCCTTTCCCCGGACAACAAACTCTATGCTTTCGTTGCTGCGCACTGGGTTCTCACGAGCGCAAGCACAATCATGGTTGACCAGGGGACCTTGCTGAAGAAACTTCATGCAAAAGACACAGGCGTGGCATTACCAAGAGATGCTGCCAAGCCATATTGCCAAAACGCGTTTTTGCTTCTGAAATATTGCCAGTTGGCAGCCTTGACCAGGACCTCCGAAAAGGCGGCTCACAGGCTGCGCAAAAGAAAGCCTCCGCAATGCCCAACTTCCCAAGTTGCATTTTCAAAGTTGCTGCATCTTTTCCAGCACAAGCAGGCGAACAGCTTGGCGGAGTACGCAGAATCCTGCCTAACGGTGACCGCGTCTATCTCCACTCTGTATGCTGCCGACTTGAAGGTCCTGTTGCCGCCCGATTTCGATGTCCCGCGCATGGAGCAGTGCTTGCAGCTGCTCACGCAATACGCCACTGACGCCCGCCCTTTCGAGCACAGTGCCAAAATTCTGAATGTCAAATCCCAGCGCGTGGCAGCCAAGCAGGTAGCGCCTAACAATCCTCCTCCTCCGCCTCCAGGAACCGAGATGTTAGCCGGGGCCACCCACAGCGACGCGTGCTCTTCGTTGATGTACCCAGGGTCCCTCAGTTTGTTGCCTGCTTTCGTTCTCGCGTTCCACCACGCGGATCCTGCATGTCGAGCGTCTGTGGCGCACGCATTGCTGCAACAACAATGTTTCCATCTTCACCTGTCTGAAAGGGACTGCGACTTTATTCTTGGCAAGCTTCTCCGACGTGCCCCGCATTGGCTTGGAGCTGAGTGCCACTTGCCAAAGCACATTCCCACGAGATGCGTTCAACCAGACGTGAAACATTGTCTGACTTGCCACGCACATCTCAAATGTGCCGCCGCTCGCGCAGTGCCTTGTGCGCTTGGCTTGCATTGCGTGGAACAGGTCCTGCTCCTCAGCTACTTTTGCTGCTCCTGCAGTCGCTCTTATTTTGGACCGTGGGTTGAGGGCAAAGATGCAACTGGTGCGCGGGCTAGGATGCTAGTGCAAGACAACCCACGCTACTTCTGCATCACGCAAAACATCGTCTTTGCGACAGCTTTCTTGGACCAAGTCACCGACATTCTGCTTCATTGCGGCGGTTCTTTCCGAGGCATTGTGAATGTGCTGCGGCCCAAGCTCCACATGAAAATTCGAACGCTGGAGAAGCATCTCCGCGATTCGTGGCTGCAATACTCCGTGTGCAAGTTTTTGACAAACAATCGCACTTCCATCAATTGCTTTGTCGGCAAGAATGGCATGGAACCCTGGTGCCGTGGACTCGAAGACCAGGTGCTTCACCAATTTCAGCGTCGCTGGCTCCTGCAACACCAGTGTTCCAAGTGCGAACGAGGCATTCTAGGCGTGGACGGCAATGCCAAAGTTCGTACCAAACTGTGCGCCAACACGGATGCGGGCGTATGGGATTGCAGGCCTCTGAACGCCCATTGCCTGACTGGATGCCAGAGTGCTCCCATTCCTGGTCGAAAATATTGCGCCGTGCACCTCCGAGATGCTGACCCGATTTTTGGTTGCGATCTCATTTTGCAAATGATCCTTTCCTTCCTCGCAACGACAGCAACCCTGCTTTCTCGCACCGAAGCTGGTCGCCACAAGTCGCCAGATATTGTCGCGCTTTTCCCGCTTTGTCGACGAACGCGGAAAGCGTTGAGTTTTGCTGTGAGCCACGCTAAGCTTCAATATCCAGTTTCGCTTCTTTCTGTCAAACGTATTCCGCGTTCGCGGCGGTATGCTTTCCAAACCAAGACAGGCCAAGCCTTTTCGCTATCAAGCGACTTGGTTCCCACGCACTACCAACAGCAATATGGTCAATCCTTGTTGGAGCCCGTTTCACGAGAGTGCCAATCAAAGCCACGCGTCGGACATCAAGTCCAGTTCTCTGCGTCCGAGAAAAATGACGCGTGTCGCCGGCAATGGGAAAAATCTCGTGCAGCACGGCGCAGTGGGGGCGTTTTAGCCGCTGTCAAGGAATGCCAAATCATCAGCGCCATCAAGCTCGTGTACACCCACGAATCCCCAACAGGGGTCTACTTTTTCTTGGCTGAGCTGTTTGAGTTTCTGTCTGCCGGCCGCAATGTCAATTTGAAGACTGCCAAGCGGAAGACTCGCCTGCGAACACTTCAGCAAACCATGCCGCTGGTCTTTTACGATTGCGCGTGCACGTTGCAGCGCTTCATGGCTTCCAAGAAACGACGCCGCATGAGCAAAGTTGCTCGTACCCTCAGCCGGCTTCGCCTTGTCATCGACAAGTTCCATTTTCGCAAAGGGCACAGCGGCTGCAAGCCTGATGGCACTCGCCCGTTTCCCAAAACGTGGCCTCAGACGCATGCCTCGAGCTTCCCCAACATTAATGACAGCGCAGCTGAACAATCTTTTGCGTTTGTTCGCAAAATTGCGGTGGCGGCGCGGCGCATGACCCCAGTGCGTGGCCTTCTCTTCCTTGCGTCATTGCTGCACGCTCGCAATGTACAACTCGAACTCATGGGGATCAAAAAGGCAGAACTGGCAGCGGCCAAGAAGCGAAAATTCATGGCGCGCCGCAACTTCCAGGATGCAGTGGAAGCGCTGCCATTTCGACGACCAGCTTCGCAGCAGCTCTAAATCCATGCCGACCTCCTGCTGTTTCACCCGCTTTACAAAAAAAGCCGACAGAGTTCGAACCGCAGCAAAATGAAATTTTCGGCAGCGACTTTCGTGCGAAATGTGTCCTACTTGCCAACCTCTATGTCTCCTGTTCGATCTCCATTGCCAAAGTCCTCCATCTCAGCCATGACACCGTGCAATGTGTATCTGTACTGTCGTCTCTGTTTCTTCAACATGTTTTCCATCATCCACGAAACTAACATGCAGTTTGTGTCTTGTACCGAACCTCCACGGCATATGCACACTAACGACATTTGGTCTCTGAACTTGCCTTAGGTTGTAGCGTATCAAATCGTATTTAATCTTGTTACACTGCCTTGGTTTGCAGCTTTCGGTTTGCAGCGCCCAGTTTCCATAGACTCCAGTTCCCTTAGATATCTATTGAGTTCACCACAATGCAGACATGCACTTCCCATGCCCTATTTGAACATAGTCCAGTCCAAAGCACATGCTTCTACCTTAGCTAAAACACACACACACACATGGCATTTTGCCAATCGCAGCCTCACACAACCAGCGCTGCCCATCAGCACCTCTCTCCATGTGCCGTGCAACGAGTCGTCATCCGGCTGCAACGGGCTGCTGCTACGGAGCCGCTTGCCTTGCAGCTTAAGGTCGGGGGGTCGTCTGTACACGCGAAAACGGGTTCGTCTGTACACGCGAAGCGGGGGTCGTCTTTACACGTGAAACGAGGATCAGCTTCATGGACTTCATCTATTTCTTGTCCTCCTGTGCATCGTCTACACTAATCATATATATATATATTTTTTTTTTATTTGCCTCCGCAACGCTTCGAAACCGCGAAGAGTTAGAAGAGATGTTACTTGTCAGGTTCACAGAAGATAATGACGCAGGTATGTGTCAGGTGGAGTATCGATTCTCGCCTGGTCCATGTTTTCACGGTTCGAATGTTTTTGGCACGATATATTTTCAAAGATTCTCATGCTTACATTTTGCCATTTTCATGGTTGCCCTTTACATTTTTACTCGTGACCGTTCTAACTTTACCGCTACGACGTTACAATTTGGGTGATGCAAGTTTACACTTGTTGGTTGAGGTCTATGTTTAGTGCTTGCATGGAACAAATTTCCTACTTAGACTTTGCATTTCCCATGGTTCCTTTTCGCATTTTAATGGTTCCGGTCTACATTTTTTAGCGAGACTTTCCCAAAAAGTTTTCTTCTGTCAATTTTTTCTTTGCTGTTTTGCTTTCTATTTTCCAGTGTTTTTCTTCAGGCTCTTTTTTCTTCCGTGGTCTTTTTTGCTCTCCTCTTCTCTTCAACTGCTTTTGTGTCCTTGCCACTTTCAATACTTACGTTTTCAGTTTTTGGCAGGTTAGCTGCTACTTGTAGTGCTTTGATCTTGCCTTTGGTTCTATTCTGTGTCTGGTGTTGCTGTTGCTTTTGTTTGTCTCGTGTTCTTGTCTTCGATTTTTTGTGTCCCTTGGTCGGCCGGTCGGCCGGTCAGCCGGTCAACCGGGCATTCCGCCGGTCAACCGGGCAACCGCCCCGGTCAGCCGGTCAACCGGGCAACCGGGCATTTCTTCCCCTAGTCGGCCGATCGGCCGGTCAGCCGGTCAACCGGGCATTCCACCGGTCAACCGGGCAACCGCCCCGGTCAGCCGGTCAACCGGGCAACCGCCCCGGTCAGCCGGTCAACCGGGCAACCGGGCAACCGGGGAGGGGAGGGGTCAACCGGGATCCGGTCAGCCGGTTGCCCGGTCCGGTCGGCCGGTTACCGCCATACTCCTTAGTTCAAGATAGGTCTGATAGTACTGAAGATAACCCTGATAAATCTTGCACTAAGCCCCATAAGCCAGCCGTTACTTTCAAGCCATCATCACCATCTCAAAGCCTCAAGGACCGAAAGAAAGCCTTTCAGCATGTTGTGAAGAATACCAAGAAAGGGGTAGTTGATGTTGATTGGTTAAAAGAACAACTGGTAACCATTTATGGTAATAAGGGTGAGGGGATAGTCCATGCTGCCGTTGCGTACAAACCCAAAAAGGAAAGAATCCCCCAAGATGCAGGACAAGTTCCCTACATGGTGTCAGTGGCCACCCTGTCCGCCGACGGACAATTACATGTGAGCCCTTGGCAATGCCGTCCGCAGGACCCTGACAGAAAGCCTGTCAATGCAATGCCTGTTGCCATTTTTGCATATGCGCATGCCGAGTCTTCCGAAGAGACTGCAGCCGTAGGTCATGAACACACTGAGGCATGTTGTACATGTTGCAATGATGCGGAACCCCACCATGATGTCCCTGCCAGCCAGTTAGATGTTGAACAACTGTATGATGAAGATAATAACTGGGTAGATGTAGGCCATCAGGAACGTGTCCCAATGCATAGCCAAGAGAAGTTGCGAAATGGCATCCGGTCTCTCCGAAAGCTTAGCAGCCGCCTTGTCGTGTCCCGGATCTCCGAAGATCCAAGTGCTGTCCGTGCAGAGCTCCAGCATTGGTTAGGATCCCAAGCCGATAAGCTTGACAAGCCTGTTGGTTTAGTTGAAGTCTTTACAGGTAAGGCTCCCTTGTCTGCCAAATATGAAGCCGTCACAGGTTTGGGTGCCATCCGAATTGGACTTGACTATGGCCAGGATCTAACCAAGCTTCAAGATCGCCGGAACTTGTTGCTGCTGATTGCATACTGTCGTCCACAGCATGTCTGGTTTAGCTTTCCATGCCGACACTGGGGACCTTGGTCACGTTTTAACATGGCTAGGAGTGAAACAGCACGTCAAGAGATCATGGCCCAGAGGGCGATAGCTAGGAGATACCTCAAAAATGTTAGTGAAGCATGGCACCTGCAAGTAGGTCTTGGTGGTCAAGCTCATGCAGAAAATCCTTTAAGCTCCGACGCATGGGATGAACTGCATTTAGGTAAATGTTGGTCCCAAAGAATAGATCAATGTGCCTTAGGCCTTCGCTGTCCAAAGACCAAGCTTCCTGTGTTGAAGGCAACTGGAATTGTAACTTCGCAGGAATCTCTTGCGAAAAGACTTGTGTCATGCCGTTGCGATGGAAAGCACAACCATCAGCACTTGGAGGGGAACTACCGTGGCCAGCCTTTGACCAAATGGGCTGAAACCTATCCCAACAAGTTTTGTCGTGTCATGGTTGAATGTTTTCAGTTGCAAGAGCCTGCCAACAATCGCAACATGCCAATAGAAGAAGTGTTTGCTGCAGAAGATCAACCTGATCAACTTGCACAAATCCCGGAGCATGATCCTGATGTTTCAGTTTCCGTAGAACCGCAAGCAGCCGAACAAAGTCCTGCAAGAATAGCTGCCATGATACAGAAACTACATGTAAACACGGGTCACTCCTCCAAGGAACAAATGATGCGACTTGCTGTCCGATGCCAGTCCTCTGCCGAAATTCGGAAATGCATATCCAACTTCCGTTGTGGTGTGTGCGAAGAACTGAAACAGCCGCCATCACATAGGAAGGCAACTGTGCTGCACAATGAATCGCCGAATCATGTGGTCGGTCTCGACTTTGTCCAGGTTGAACTCAAACGTGAAGATGCCAATGGAAAGGTTCGAGAAATCACCAAGAATGTTTTGACTTGCGTCGACCTTGCCACAGATTTTGCACAGCAGATCATTGTAGAGCCTGGTCCCCATGGTTTGTCTCGCGCATTTCACAATGCTTGGGCACGTCCATATGGTGTCCCAAAGATAATATACATGGATCCAGATCATAGGAACATTTCCTCAGACTTCCAGCGTTACCTTGTGCAAAACAATGTTCAACTCCTCATGTGTGCCGCTGAAAGTCATTGGCAGCTTGGTAGGGTAGAAATAGCAAATCGCACACTCAGAAACATGGCACAGAGAGTGTGGCGTGCAACCGAACGTCCACCAGAAGAAGTAATAGAAGCTTGTGCCAGTGTTAGAAATGACCAACTGAGAAAACATGGTTTTTCACCGTCACAATGGTTTTTGGGAAGAGAGCCGAGACATGCAGGCGATCTGGCCGATGTTCATGAGCAGCACAATCCTGTCTCACAATCCCAGATCCTTGCTGATCCCTCATTTGAAGCTCGGGTCAAACTGCGTGATGAAGCCGCACGTGCGTTCCTCGAGGAACATGCCCGAGATGTCTGGCGAAGAGCCATTGCTGGGCGAAACCGTCCCATGAGAGGCCCTTATGTTGCAGGTCAACTTGTGTACATGTTTAGAAAAGCTGGCAGGGGACAACTATCAACTAGACATGGTCGTTGGCTTGGCCCAGGTAGGATCATAGGCACTGAGTCCTCCCAAAATGGTCCTGTCCCTAGGTTGGTTTGGGTTTCATGGAACGGGGCTTTGTACCGTTGCTCACCAGAAGGTCTCCGTCCTTTGCCAGAAGATGAGGTTCAATTCCGAGAACTGTCGCAAAAGCTGTCAGCTGGGTGTCTGCACGACGATGTCGAGAGAGCTGAAGAGACTCTTGATAAGCGTTGGGGCCAGTATGTAGACCTAGTGCCTGACCTTCCCACTGCCGATGACATGGAGTTGTCTCAAGATGTTGAACAAGAACCTGATTACGTAAACCCTGCTCCTGAAACTGAAGGTGGTCCTAGAAAGGTCCGTAGAAGGTTTTACCGTAGTCAGCAGTACTGGGAAGATCGTGCAGCCGGTCGCATTGGACCTCATGGTGCGTTGCATGAAGGCGAACTGCCTACCCTCATCAACTTGGAGGGCGGTGTGGCAAACCAAAGTGATGAATCTCCTGCCAAACACCGTAGGATTTCCATAGAAGATTTAGAGCCCCCTGTGCCTGAACTTAGTTTGGAAAGTCCTGGTTCATATACCCCTTCAATAATGGATGATGTAGTTCAGCCCATGTCTCCTAATGCACTTAGCCCTGACACGCCTGCCGAACTCCAGCCTGATGCAGCCGCAGAACAGCTTTCCGATTCTGCTGAGGGTGAAAATACAGCCATGTCCGATGGAAATGCGGGTTTGTCCGTACCTGAATTGCCTGATGTTGTCATGTCGCCTGAAGAAGTCAACCGTCCAGTTGAAGTTCCTGTCCCAAATGATGATGATGAACTTGCAGTCCAACACCAATCAACTGAGTGTCCAAAACATGTTCAAGAGGTGTTTGAAATGTCGGTTGATATAGTGCCTGATGACATCACAGACAATCCACTGTGTCTGTGGAGTGTTCTAGAAGATTGCTTCACGGTCAATGTGCCCAAAGCAAAGCAGCGCCGTGTTGAAGTGTCTTTCAGAAAGCTCACCCAAGGTGAGCAACAGCTGTTCACGAAAGCCATGCAGAAAGAATGGAACAGCTGGATAGAAAACCGTGTAGTGTCTCTGTGCCGGTCCCGAGGAATCCCAACAGAGCGCATCATCCGCGCAAGATGGGTGTTAACATGGAAGTCCTCATCTGACCCTGATGTCAAAAGCAAAACTCCAAAGGCTCGATTAGTACTTGTGGGGTGGCAGGATCCAGAACTTGGTAAGATAGCAACAGATAGTCCTACCCTCCGTAAGGAAACAAAGAACTTAATCTTGTCCCTGTGTGCTAGCCGTAAATGGCGACTATGGGGTGCAGATATCAAAACAGCCTTCCTTTCCGGTGACCCTTCAACCAGAGATATCTATTTCAGACCCCCTGCAGAAATCAAAGATTGTATCCCCAGAAGACCTTTTCAAACTAGAAAAAGCAGTGTACGGCCTGGCCGAAGCCCCAAGAGCTTGGTACTTACGACTGTCTAGGGAACTACTTGAGGTTGGTATGGTGTGCTCCCAGCTAGATCCTTGCCTGTATACCTTAAGGAAAAACGGAAAACTTTTGGGAATTTGTGGTATCCATGTTGATGACTTGATAGGTGGTGGAACCCCTGAAATGGATAAGACCCTGGAAGCACTCAAGAAAAAGCTGCCATTTGGGGACTATAGGACTTACACCATCCGATACACGGGAGCAGAAATCCGCCAAAACCCTCAAACTATGGAGATTGAAGTAGGTCAGGAAGCATACATAGATGCCCTGGAGCCAGTACCAACAAAGCCGTTGGGAAACGCCTCGACACCGCTTCAAGATCCCAAGATCTTGCGAACTTGTGCCGGACAATTGGCATGGGTAGCCAACAGCACGAGGCCAGACCAGTCGTTTCTTGCGTCTTACTTGCAAGGTGCTCAGGATAAAGGAACTGTTGCACACGCTGATGCAGGTTGGGGTACTAGGGGTAATGGAGAGTCCCAAGGGGGTTATATCCTATGCCTTACTACCCCAGGGATGTTTGAAAGGAAACGGACAAAGGCCTGGGTTGTTGACTGGCAATCCAAAAAGCTTCGTAGAGATCGTCCGTTGCAGCTGAAACCCTAGCCGGGCAAAATGGACTGGATGGGATTGAGATGTTTCAAGCGTTGGTTGAAGAAACACTCCGAGGTGTCAGCCCCAAAGCCTTCAGATCCCAAACTCCAAAAGATCCAGCCGGGTTGGTAATAGACAGTAAAGGTTTCTATGATGCAATAACCCGTAGTTGCTGCAGTCAAGCTATTTCTGTTGAGCGCCGCCTCCAAATTGATTATGCCATCGCAAAAGAGTCAGTGTCCGAACCTCCACCAAATGAATAGTTTCATCCAAAATAGTGCATAGTGTCCATATTTGGTGAATGCAGGTAGCTGAATGTATAGGGCAAAAAGCCGTGAAAAACCAGAGCTGCACTCCAACAATGGCGATCCACACCTTACTTGTCTAAGATAATGGGGTAATAAGTTTTTGTATAGATAAGTTGGATGGGACTTTAGTCATAAACAAACAACTGCCGGTATGCACATGCGTTTTTGCCTGCAGTGAAATGTTTTTCAGTTTGTACAGAAAAGCCAAATGCCATAGCGTTTTCTGAAGTCAAGCTGGGCCGCACTGAGTGAGATCCGATTCACTCTGAGTTTCCTGAAGGTGTGAACTAAGTCACCTTTGCCTAGCACCATGTCGATGCCGCCAGCGAAAAAGGTAGCTTCCAGCAGCCATGACGATGGGCCGCTCAACCAGCAGGAGATTTCTCTTATGTCTGGATTGCTGCACCGAGCCATCAAGTTCAAGCAGACGAGCTTGGTCTTAGCCGCCTACCAGATGTCGAATGCTCCAAAGTCCAACTATGTGCTCCACCGTGCCTTGCTGCAACAGTGTGAGGAGATGACAGGTGAGGACCAAGGAAGTGTGGCAGGTAGCATGACCGATGCTACAAAGCGTCTTCGCGAAGTCGAAGAGGCCGAAGATGATGGTACGTCAAGCTGGAATGTCTTCCACTATGGGGACAACTACCCGCACTCTGGCAATCAGCCAGCACCGTCCTATGTGGGCAGCCAGGAATACACAGTTCCAACGCCCTACATGCAGACCCAGACCATGCCGCAGATGCCGACCATCAATGGCAAGATTCCTTTGCCGAAGGGATTGGGTGAGATCGCATGGGGAAAGAGTCTCTGCAAGTTGGACCAGGTGAAAGAATGGTCGCCGAATGGCCGCTCCTATGTGGGATTGATGGAGGATGCCAAGAAGTCTTCCGAGATTTGCACCTACCTCAAATGGATCAAAAAGACATTTGGAACTGGTGGTACAGGTATCATCAAGAAGAAGATCACTCCTGCAGTTGACCTTGCGCTCTACCTTGAGCGAATGGGTTGGATGGAAGAAGAGCCGGATGCACCATTTGTGCGTGAGTTCGTGGATTGAAAAAGCCCATGGTGCCATACAAAGGTTGAGCCTATGAATGCAATCAAAGCTGCTTACCTCGATCGAGGGCGTGTGAAAACCACTGTCATGCAAGCATGTTTGGAATGATGGATATAACATGGAAGGACATAGCCATGTCCCATTTATCCTCAGGTGGTTCCTTGTGAGATCGACTGCATCTACCGATTGCACCTTTGGCTCCACTATCAGGGCCCTTGAGCCTGACCTAAGGAGGTCAGTGCTACTTTCGTGCGCCTGTGGAAGAAACAGTGGCGCTGTTGCGCGATCATCCGTTCCGTGATTTCATCAGTTATATATATGATCTCCCTTGATCTATGATCTCCCCACTTCATGGTGATTTACAATCAAGTCAAAAAAGGGGGGTTCCTAACTTGGGGGTACCCCTTTATCGCTGGACGGTTTTTTTGGGAAAATCTCATCAATGAATGGATGATAATTGGGGTAACCCCATGACTTAGGATACCTCCAATATAAGTATAAACATACAAAAAAACTATGGAAAATCACCATGTTCAATGGGTAAATCCACTATAAATGGCCCATTTTTTGTGGGCGCTTGGTCAGCACGATGTCACTGGAAGGCTCCCCCTCCGACTTTCTCAAAGGCTACCGTGACTCGGTGAAGACTTCATGGCGGCATGGATGAACCATAGAAATGGAAAGAAATATATATATATATAATTATATATATACGTGTGTATAATATCTATGATCTACATATGTATATATGATCTACATATGTATATATGATCTACATATGATATACTAAACTATATGATCTACATATATATAATTATATATATAATTATATATATATAATTATATATATATAATAGCTGTGGGTTTGTAGAATTTGTATCTATATTTGCAAATAATGAGGATGCAAATAGTGACATACAAGCGGAAAGGCAATCATTGATGAGGATATGATGGGGATATGATGGGGATACTATGGGTTGGTTGATAGGCAATTTCATGGCGATACATGATGTGTGGCGACTCACGAAATGTTTGGAAAACCACAGCTGCTTCTGTTTGAGGCTGGTTCCCCTCCAAGCTCACTTCAGAGCCTCTGACAAAAAGAGCCGGTCACGTGACGCCGTCAGCAACCCTTCAGAATGTCAAGAGGAAGAGGACATGACAAGACAATGGAAATTGATTTGGATAGACTGATAGACATACAAAATTGAAATTTAACCTGTTGGCTCAAAGCTTTGAAGTTCAAGTTCTGAAAAGTTATGTTTCATGTTTGCAGGTAGTTTGTTTTGTACTACTATATACACGGAGAGTCTCAATATGTATTTGAAAGATGAGGGGCAGTTGCTTGATGTGTAGCCGGGGAGCATGCAACTCCAGCATGAAAGAGCCAGAAAATGTTTTTCTGCATGGATTACAAACGGTTAAAATATGTTGCCATTGAAAAATTGAACAACTGATGGAAACTCTACTGGTTTGGTAGCTTTCGGAGGTGAGTGAAGCTTTGCAAAGTCGAAGCTCAACAATCTCAACATCTCGCTATGGCGCTTTTCTTGATGCAGAAGTGGGAGCAGATGCAGGAATGAAGACTCTGGTTCTTGTGCTTGCCGATGACGGCCCATAATTCAGATGGTTGTGTCAGAAAATGTTACCCTCTGGTTATGACTAACATAGCCATGGAAAATGGCCCATAGAAATAGATGGTTTACCTATTAAAAATGGGGGATCTTTCCATGGCTATGTTAAATAACCAGAGGGTATATCCTTCGCCCCAAATGGCAATTCTAATGGGAAACGGATGATCATCCAGCCACATGAGCCCACCCTCCAGGACCGGGTCACAGACTGGACAGGACTGCCAGTCCTGACAGTGCCAAAGCTGGGCGCCATGAATCTGCAATGAGTATGATAAATCCATATAAATCTGCATAACTCTGATTGGAAAATGGATCAGTTTCTCCAAATTTGAACCTGATTTGGATGTCATATTGAAGTATCATGCCCACTTTGAGACCCAAATATATCATGTAAATGTTAGATATTGAGTATCTGTGAGTATATATTCAGTATTTTGGTCCAAATTGCCATGAGTCAACCAACCAACAACCGTGCCCCGTGCCGGAGGACTTCTCTCCAATTTGTCTCACATCCGTGGAGAGGTTGGAGACATGTCACCTGCTTCGATCGCAGCAGCTGTGGTGGTTGGACTCCGAGCAGTGCATGTGATGAATCGACTGATTGACACCGTTGGGATCTCAGCACCAGATTTCTTTGCAGCAAAATGGGTTCCGGAATTTTTCAATTGGGTGTATCTCATGTTGATTCACGGAACTAAAAAAACTAAAAAAAATGATGATGTATCAAACTTCATGAACTTCATATGAACACTTTTGGATGTGTCTGAAAATTGTGTTTTTTCCCTGTTTTTGGCCATTTGAGTAGGGAAGACCATGATTTATCATCCAATTTTGGGGTATCATGTTCATTTTGGAGTGTCTCAACTCAGGCCTTACAGGAAGTTCTCTTGAGTCAAACACGATTCGCGAACTTCCTCCTGCTTTTCGCAGCGGGATCTGGAATCCATGTTGCCTCCAAATATCGAGAAACCATCACGCAGCATTTGAATGTGACGCGTGGAGTCTCCTGTCAGCATTTGATGCCACGCTGTGTTGACATATTTTGAACTTTGAGAATCTTTGAGACATGAAACGTGATAAAAGGGTCCATGCTCAAGTTGTGACTGCTGTGGTATGAGCCGTGTTCAAAACCCTTAATTGGTGGATGATTATGGAGGGTTTTATTACCCAATACTGAATATATCAAGTACTCATCATCCATTTTCTTTGGAATCCCGTCTTCAACCACTTTGGGTAGGAGTTCTAAGGCCGCTTCTTTCGACAGTGCTGAAAGGGCAGAGTGGCTTGTGCAACTGATCCATAATCTAAAGCGATTGCCGCCCAACTTTTGGTATTCCTCCGCGGCAACGGGTCTGCTGTCCTTGCAGATTGCACAACGACTTGGGGTGTTTGGAACTTAGATCACCTGATGCGAAAACAGGTGCAGTTCACAGCAATGTTATATGCCTTCCCACTCACAAACATTGCCTGTCTCAAACGGAAATTCTGGAAACTTGTGGGCCACCTCAAACAGGACGCAGATTTGTCGGAGGTTGAGTGCTGCACATTTGATCAAACATCCCTGGGCGCGCTCTTTTTATGAACCAGGTGGTGTCTACAGAAGACAGCTCGTTCGAGGATAGGAAACTACATATTGAAGCCAGACCCTGAGGCATGATCCATCCTGGTAGCCTGGTAGTCCGACTCGCACATGATGTCGCCGTAAAGAGAAACTGCTTTTCTTGTGTTGAAAAACAAGGCATGTCCTTTTGCAAATATTACATCAAATTATGATTTACACATTACATGGATATCACATCCTATTTAAGTTATATCATCCTGAATCTCCGGGAATTTTCACATCAATTTTCACAGGAAAATTCACATCATCTACAGAATGTGATCCTCATCCAGTCCCATTGATGTTAATTCATGTTAATTAAGTTAATGATGTTAATTAATTGTTAATTGCTAATTAATGTTAACATCATCCATCCTTTGATCCAAGCAGTCGCCGGTCATCGCCGAGGAGCGTCTTCATCGCTGTCTTCTTGGCGACCTTCCGCTCTGAGCTCCTTGCGGAAGCGCAGGTGAAGTGGCTCCGGGATCGGACGCGCCTTGGCAAAGTCGAAAGAGGTGGATGGATGGTGATGGGATGGTGATGGGATGGTGATGGGATGGTGATGGGATGTGATGGAGTTATACAATGTTATACATCCACTCTTTAAAAAGGTGGAAGAACTCAAAAACATCCAGAAATCAATCATCCATAAATTACATAAATTCCTCATCCAAGATGATCAGAGAAATTCTCAAATCCCAGAAAAACCTATAGAGAATCCCAGCTATGTCGATGTTCCGTGGCTGATATGCGACAGCCAGGCAATCGCTGATGGCAAGCAACCGCAGTCAGGACAGTCTGCAAGACAGAGCACGGGCTGCCACAGCCTCAAGTTTCGCAAAGCGTGGAGAGGCATGAAATTCACATACCCTTTGCTAAACAAACATAGCTATTGAACATGGCCATAGAAATAGTTGATTTACCCATTAAAAATCGTGATTTTCCATAGTTTTTTGTATGTTTACCAGAGGGTAAATTCACACATGTTTATTCACCAAAAAAACCACTGCGATCAAGGAGTAGTTAGAACTGCTTCTTGACCAGTTTACAGACACTTTGAAAGTGCTCAACCGCTTGGGTTCCTGGAATTGATGTCCTAAGGCCACAGGTGCAGCCTTTCGATCTGTGTGAAAAATGTGAGCGCAACAGCTTCAGCTGTGCACAGCATGGATATCTTCATGGAAAAGGGAAAGTTTCTACAGGGATTTGGGATGATATGGGTATGTCTCGAAAATTGAATGCACCAACTTCTGATGGTATATCATGATTTTCCCATGAAAGTTGCCATTGCGGCATTCCTCCAGACGTGGTCCTACCAGGCTACATTTTGCAAGAGGAGTTTGATGCAAAGGAAATAAACAGATCAAAAAAAACAGTTTCTGAAGACATCCACGGCCATGGATTGGTACAGCCTTGGTCCCATGCCATGCTCAAGGGTCATTGTGTTTTTTCATGTGTATATATATATTATATATATGTATTATATATTATATATATATTATATTATATATTATATATATATATTATATTCCTATGTTATATCATAAATATTAACAAAATGGAACTTCTTGGTGAGGCTTTTGTGTTTTTTTTAACCAGCCTTCACAGGTAACGACGAAATCCCCCAGTTCGACACCTCAACTTTTCCGCAGCCATATTTTTAAGGCGCCCAGGCAACTCGCTTCGCCATGGACGACGCGCGCGCCTTGCTCGATGTGGAGACTCCCCCGGAGACAGGCTCAGTGACGGCCAGTGCCGTGAAGCGTCGAGCCATGTGGGGAATGCTGTGGAGCGGCGTACTCTCGGCGATCGTGGTGTTGGTGCTCTTCATGCCCAAGACAGAGCATGGAGGTTGGAAATGAGTCCGAAAAAAATGACAATGGGCCAAAAAGCCATCGGTAGTAAAGAAGGGGAGAACTCAAACGTTGAGGATCTTCGGGAATCTGCATATGTGTCAAAGACATGCAGTTTTAAAGATAAATATGATAAATATGATAAATACACCTTCGTTGAGAGTAGGTTCTTTCATGTTGACCGCAGGTTCGAAAGATCTGGTGCAATTGGCTCAGTGGTCGTCGGACTTCGACGCCTTGGACGTGGAGGCGGAGCGTGCGGACTTCGGACGCCTGGCGTCGAAGGCCTCGGAGCTGGCGGACTTGTTGCGCGTGCTCCGGGGCTCGGTGATGAGGTCGCCGGCGCTTCCCAAGGTTTCTCGGTGGATTTTGGTGGATTTTGGTGCACTGGTCCACTGGTGAATCATGATGATCCCTATTTCAATCCCTATTTCAATGGCCGGAAAAGTGGGGGTCTACCTGATTTTTGGGATGGTATATGTGGGATAATGTGGGGGATTTGCCAAAGAGATGGAGCCCTATAGTTTTTGGCTGATGTTGAAAGGGGCACCATTGGCAAAGTCATGTTTTGGGGGGAGCCATAGTTTGGACAAACCATACAGATGTGTTTCCAAGAATTCCAGTGAAAAACCCAGCGAAAGCATCACTTTTAATGGCAAAACCCAGGGGTTGGGTAGGACCACTATTCTCATCACTTGCGTGGGGATTGTTAAATGCCAGTTCTTGTTTGCCTTTAGGATGGTTATTTCGGCATCACAAGACATTCAGCCAAATTGCAAGTCTAGCAAGAAAGCGTATTTGGGGGCACCCCTCTCTGCTAAGGCCTTTGTGGTGTATGTCAGTCCGTGGAGGTTTCCCTATAATTTGATGATTTAATCCAACTAGGCAGTGGCTGTCATGACCCAAGTATGGCTTCCCAGTCCGCGCTGACCCCACTGATGATCCATTGATGATGCTCTAAGGAATTCTTCGCGGACACCAGAGAGAAGATCTTGGAGTTGTTGCAGACGCTGCAGGGCAAGGCGGGGCCAGGTGAGCAACGAAAAAAAACACTCCACCCTGTTGATTCATGTTGCTTCGTGGTCCCTGGGTGATGCTCTTGGATGACATCATATTTTGACTACTTCATGAATTGATCATGTGTAATTCTAGTGGGGTTTTAGATTTTAGGATCATGAGGTCGATAGAATACAGACGATCTGCTTGATCCTTCGGGATCATGAACTCCATGAACTGGTAATAACTGGTATCTGAACATGGTGAACTAGACCAACCATGAACCGTACTGGAAGCATTGTTTGTTACCCGCTGTATCCTTGAAGCCTAACAAGCCAGATTTAGGGCTTTTTATTGGACAGGTCTCTCCCTTGGATGCGGTGAAGTTAGGCATCAGCGTCACCACCAAAGACTTGGCACGGTTGGGTGTCCCCCTGGAAGACTCAACGGCACCGTCAGAGACCAACGCAGAGACCAACATCATTCGAACCTCGGTGGAACCGGATGGAGATAGCCATGGCGGCCATGGCGGCCATGGCCAAAAGATGACGCGGATGGCAGATGTCCCAGGAAGTTTCGGGGCTGGACCCCCGTGGACCGATGGATTGGTACGATTCTGTTTCCATGCAAATGTACCTTCCAGGATCAAGACATTGGTTCAGAATGCCATGTTGGAATTGGAGAAGGCCATTCCTTGCATCCGCTTCAAACAGATCAAGAACCACCGCACATCCAGTACGAACTGTGAAGTCTATCCTTCCGTCATCATCACATCCTTCGACAACAGAGGTTGCGCCAGCAGCCACCTGGGCTGGTACTCCCGCACGACACAGCAGTGGGTCAACTTGAAAGCTCGGAAGCCGCGGCAAGGCGGGGCATGGTAAAAGTCGAGGAAATTAGGATCCAAAGCGTCCCATCTTCCACGTGAACAATCTCTACTGGACGAAATTGGCGGAGTGAGAATGGGACATATATATGGACATATGATATGACATATGGGACATGGTATGCGTATGTATTACATGTAGTTACTGCATGTCACATGATGTCACTCTATTCAATCTCCAGGTCATTGCGAAGTCTTGGGCATTGCGATTCACGAATTGGGGCATCTCCTGGGCATGGCCCATGAACAAGCACGGCCGGATGCTTCGAAATATGTCACCATACATTGGGACAACATCAACCCCAACTATACTCGGCAATTCAAGGTGAATGACAAGGCAGACAATGAACGACCCTATGATTTGTTGTCTGTCATGCATTATGGTTCAGAGGCCTTCAGCATTAATGACAAGGACACCATCACTCCCAAGAGCAGCGGCTGTTGGCACTACACCAGTGACGCTTCGTTGTGTGAGCGAATCAAGGACAACATGGGACAACGCAACGGGATCACTCAATTGGATGCCGATCAGCTGGGAGACCTTTACAAGTCGCAGAACAAACTTTGCAGGACACTTGGAAAAGGTGGACCTAGAAATGGCTGAGTTCAGTCTGTTCAGTCATACATCATATTATAATATATATATATGTATGTATGTATCCATTGTTGCGATATGACCGGCTGAGTTTCTTGTGGTTTCTGTCACTTTCGTCATATGTTCTATTCATGTTTTATGCTGCAAGGTTGGGATTTATACAGATGCGCGGATCCCTTTGCTTTTAAGCCATGTGGATGAAAACAGGACCTCATCCAACATGATTTGTAGCGGGAAGATTTGAATATCCCCCAAATCAGCTTATGTCAGGCTGGTTAAAGGGTTGCACCATATTTGCACCATATTTCAGGGTGGTGTTTCAACCAGCGTTTGGTCTGCGCTGCAGGAGCAGCTTGGCTCAGTCCAATCCCGCGAGTGATGGGCTCCCCTTGCAGCGCTGGGTACCTCGAACGCCCTTGTCGTACAACACCATGGGCGTGGCGTATGCATATCCCTTTCCTTGTAAGGCTGCGAGTCAGACCCGCGTCTGGTCGTCCGCTGGAGGTTGGACATGGTTGGACCTATTGGACCTATTGGACTTCAGAAACCAAGCTTTACAACTGGTTGGTGCGAATGAGGAATTGATGATTGAAGTGGGATTTTTTGGGGGGTTCGCAAATCCGGGTGGTGCTATACTGTGTTCAAACAGTTGATTTATTTGAACATCTAATCATCTTCGTTGAGCCTGACTTGCTTGGACTATCCCTGGGTTTTGTTCCTTGGCTGATGAAGTACCACTCAATATGATCAGCCCCCTGCAGGTCATAGTACCATAATGTACCATATAGTACCTAAATCTTTGACCTGCCATGCCCTGAAGGTGGTGCCCTGTTGTGGAGGCATGGAAATTTGGCATTTTACCAAGGAGATGACAAGGGTGAGACCATCTGGTCCCACGTCGTTTGGCAAAGTGGGACCTGTGCAGATTGTGGAGGTGGCTTTGAACCACGATCCAATCCGGGAGCACATCTCTGTTTCCACTCGAATGGCAATTTGGTGATCTATTCTCAAACTAGGTGCGGTATGCTGTGGAATCAACATTTTGAAAACCAGTGGTTCTTCATGGTTCTTCTTCATTTTAACATGTTTTAATTCATTTATTTTGCCATGTTTGGCACTAAAGTGCCCAAAGTTGCCCAAAGTTTCTGATTTTTGTTGGGCTTGCCGGCTCAGCCAGGAGATTGTTGTGGGCCACCGGCACCTACCCGGGCCGTAGGGCTCCATGGGGCGCTTGGAGGATGGCAATCTTCGATCATCATTGGGCCATGATGAGTCCTCGCATTAAACCGAGAGAGGGAGTACCTGATTGGTGGTTTGGAACCATGGAATTTTATGACTTTCCATATTTTCCATTCAGTTGGGAATGTCATCATCCCAACTGACTTTCACTCACTCACTCCATCATTTTTCAGAGGGGTGGCGAAAAACCACCAAGCAGTTTTTGATGATTTTCCCATTTATCAATGATTTTCCCAGCTATAAAGCTCCATTTTTCACCACCAACCAGGTACAAAAAGAAGTCTTGCCGTATTCCATGGTACGTTATCCCTCAGAAGCTCCATCTTCCATCGAAATCCTGCCATGGCTCATTGGATGGTTCGGGTGTCTGACCGATGTGACTTGGGAGACATTGGGCGGTGCGCAGCTGCGATTCCATGATGGAGAGCTGGTGTTTTATCCTGGAGATGGTCATGGTAATAAGGATGATCCAATCTGGCGTAGTGGGACCAAACACATCGGCAAAGAGTTGTGTTTTGCTGAGGACGGGGACAACGGGGACATGGGGACATGCCATGGCTGAAGACTGAACACAGACATTTAAAAAAAGGAGTCTTCTGATTGTTAGCTATATTATCTCAAAACGATCTTCTGATTCATCAAGATTCTTTGGATGGTTTTAATGTCCCTGCTTTGCCTTTCCTTATGCTTCACTGCTTCAGTCAATTAAAACATCGTCGCCTGAGACTTGAATATCGGACGGCGTCAGGACGGCAACTTGCTGATCAACTCGGCCACAGATTGGGTTTGGCGTTCCGGGACCTTTGACAGCTCCGGTGGCCGATCACCAGAGGGAGCCACATCTCTGGTGGTTTTTGATGGTGAATGGTCCATGTTTAGTGCCACCGGTGTGGCGCTGGTGACATTTCCACCCAGCACCAAATATTTCAAGGTGGATCATTTTAGTAGCACTCTTAGCACATGATTACACTGGTTGGTGGATTTGGTGGTTTCAAACATTTTTTTTTCCCCACATCTTTGTGTGGGGTTCTTGTTTTTGATTCTGTATCCCGGGCTCCGCCTTCTCCTCCGCCTCCTCCTCCGCCCTCCTCCACACTTTATCAACATACACTTTGTCACACTTTGTCACCACACACTTTGTCCACAACACTTTGTCCACACACACTTTGTCCACACACACTTTGTCACCACACACATTGTCCACAAACACTTTGTCCACAAACACTTTGTCCACACACGCTTTATCAACATACACTTTGTCACCACACACTTTGTCCACACACACTTTGTCACCACACACTTTGTCCACACACACTTTATCAACATACACTTTGTCAACATACATTTTCTCGACAAACACTTTGTCACCACACACTTTGTCCACACACACTTTATCAACATACACTTTGTCAACATACATTTTCTCGACAAACACTTTGTCACCACACACTTTGTCCACACACACTTTATCAACATACACTTTGTCAACATACATTTTCTCAACAAACACTTTGTCACCACATACTTTGTCACCACACAGGTTGTCCACACACACTTTATCAACGAATACTTCGTCAACACACACTTTGTCACCACATACTTTGTCACCACACAGGTTGTCCACACACACTTTATCAACGAATACTTCGTCAACACACACTTTGTCACCACACACTTTGTCACCACTTGACATCCACCGTCGTTTCACGTGGCAGGCGTGGCACAAACTGACATCTGCCGTCGTTTTGCGTGGCAGGCGTGTGACAGATGCTACTGGGTGGCGCCCTTGGGCCGGGCTTGGGCGCCTGTGACGCCGCGCCACTTTGCGTGGCAGGCGTGGCACAACCTGACATCCACCGTCGTTTCACGTGGCAGGCGTGGCACAAACTCACATCTACCGTCGTTTTGCGTGGCAGGCATGGCACAGATGGTACTGGGTGGCGCCCTTGGGCCGGGATTGGGCGCCTGTGACGCCGCGCCACTTTGCGTGGCAGGCGTGGCACAACCTGACATGACATCCACCGTCGTTTCACGTGGCAGGCGTGGCACAGGCGTGGCACAGTCACATCCACCGTCGTTTTGCGTGGCAGGCATGGCACAGATGGTACTGGGTGGCGCCCTTGGGCCGGGCTTGGGCGCCTGTGACGCCGCGCCACGCCGCGCCACTTTGCGTGGCAGGCGTGGCACAACCTGACATCCACCGTCGTTTCACGTGGCAGGCGTGGCACAAAGTCACATCTACCGTCGTTTTGCGTGGCAGGCATGGCACAGATGGTACTGGGTGGCGCCCTTGGGCCGGGATTGGGCGCCTGTGACGCCGCGCCACTTTGCGTGGCAGGCGTGGCACAACCTGACATCCACCGTCGTTTCACGTGGCAGGCGTGGCACAAAGTCACATCTACCGTCGTTTTGCGTGGCAGGCATGGCACAGATGGTACTGGGTGGCGCCCTTGGGCCGGGCTTGGGCGCCTGTGACGCCGCGGCACTTTGCGTGGCAGGCGTGACATTTTCTCCACATACTTTGTCACCACACAGGTTGTCCACACACACTTTATCAACGAATACTTCGTCAACACACACTTTGTCACCACATACTTTGTCACCACACAGGTTGTCCACACACACTTTATCAACGAATACTTCGTCAACACACACTTTGTCACCACACACTTTGTCACCATACACTTTGGCACAACTTGACATCCACCGTCGTTTCACGTGGCAGGCGTGGCACAAACTGACATCTGCCGTCGTTTTGCGTGGCAGGCGTGGGACAGATGCTACTGGGTGGCGCCCTTGGGCCGGGCTTGGGCGCCTGTGACGCGGCGCCACTTTGCGTGGCAGGCGTGGCACAACCTGACATCCACCGTCGTTTCACGTGGCAGGCGTGGCACAAAGTCACATCTACCGTCGTTTTGCGTGGCAGGCATGGCACAGATGGTACTGGGTGGCGCCCTTGGGCCGGGATTGGGCGCCTGTGACGCCGCGGCACTTTGCGTGGCAGGCGTGGCACAACTTGACATCCACCGTCGTTTCACGTGGCAGGCGTGGCACAAACTGACATCTGCCGTCGTTTTGCGTGGCAGGCGTGGGACAGATGCTACTGGGTGGCGCCCTTGGGCCGGGCTTGGGCGCCTGTGACGCCGCGCCACTTTGCGTGGCAGGCGTGGCACTACCTGACATCCACCGTCGTTTCACGTGGCAGGCGTGGCACAAAGTCACATTACCGTCGTTTTGCGTGGCAGGCATGGCACAGATGGTACTGGGTGGCGCCCTTGGGCCGGGCTTGGGCGCCTGTGACGCCGCGGCACTTTGCGTGGCAGGCGTGGCACAACCTGACATCCACCGTCGTTTCACGTGGCAGGCGTGGCACAGAGTCACATCTACCGTCGTTTTGCGTGGCAGGCATGGCACAGATGGCACTGGGTGGCGCCCTTGGGCCGGGATTGGGCGCCTGTGACGCCGCGCCACTTTGCGTGGCAGGCGTGGCACAACCTGACATCCACCGTCGTTTCACGTGGCAGGCGTGGCACAAACTCACATCCACCGTCGTTTTGCGTGGCAGGCATGGCACAGATGGCACTGGGTGGCGCCCTTGGGCCGGGCTTGGGCGCCTGTGACGCCGCGCCACTTTGCGTGGCAGGCGTGGCACAACCTGACATCCACCTTCGTTTCACGTGGCAGGCGTGGCACAAACTCACATCCACCGTCGTTTTGCGTGGCAGGCGTGGTACAGATGGCACTGGGTGGCGCGCTTGGACTGGCTTGGGCGCCTGTGACGCCGCGGCACTTTGCGTGGCAGGCGTTTGCGTGGCAGGCGTGGCACAACCTCACATCCACCTTCGTTTGCGTGGCAGGCGTGGCACAAACTCACATCTACCGTCGTTTTGCGTGGCAGGCGTGGCACTCATGGCACTGGGTGGCGCGCTTGGACTGGCTTGGGCGCCTGTGACGCCGCGGCACTTTGCGTGGCAGGCGTGGCACAACCTGACATCCACCTTCGTTTCACGTGGCAGGCGTGGCACAAACTCACATCCACCGTCGTTTTGCGTGGCCGGCGTGGGACAGATGGCACTGGGTGGCGCGCTTGGACTGGCTTGGGCGCCCGTGACGCCGCGGCACTTTGCGTGGCAGGCGTGGCACAACCTGACATCCACCTTCGTTTCACGTGGCAGGCGTGGCACAAACTCACATCCACCGTCGTTTTGCGTGGCCGGCGTGGGACAGATGGCACTGGGTGGCGCGCTTGGACCGGCTTGGGCGCCTGTGACGCCGCGGCACTTTGCGTGGCAGGCGTGGCACTTGGTGACATTCACCTTCGTTTCACGTGGCAGGTGTGGCACTTGGTGACATCCACCTTCGTTTCGCGTGGCAGGCATGGTGCTTGGTGACATCATGTGACATCCACCTTCGTTTTGCGTGGCAGGCGTGCCACTTGGAGACATGCACCTTCCTTTTGTCACACACACCATCTTTTACACACCATCTTTGACACACCATCTTTCACACCTCTTTGTCACACACCATCTCTCACACACCGTCACATACCATCTTTGACACACCATCTTTCACCCACCGACTTTGTCACACGCCATCTTTCACACACAACTTTGTCACACACCAACTTTGTCACACACCATCTTTCACACACCAGCTTTGTCACACACCATCTTTCACACACCTCTTTGTCACACCCCACCTTTGATACACCATCTTTCACACATCACATTGTCACACACCATCTTTCACACACCACTTTGTCACATACCATCTTTGACACACCGCTTTGTCACACACCACTTTGTCACACATCACATTGTCACACACCATCTTTCACACATCACATTGTCACACACCATCTTTCACACACCACTTTGTCACATACCATCTTTGACACACCGCTTTGTCACACACCACTTTGTCACACACCATCTTTCACACACCATCTTCCACACACCACTTTGTCACACGCCATCTTTCACACACCGTCACAGACCATCTTTTCACACCATCTTTCACACACCATCTTTCACACAACACTTTGTCTCGCACCATCTTTCACCACACCATCTTTCACACACCACTTTGTCACACACCATCTTTCACCACACCATCTTTCACACACAACTTTGTCGCACACCATCTTTCACCACACCATCTTTAACACAACTTTGTCACACACCATCTTTCGCCAAACCATCTTTCACACACAACTTTGTCACACACCATCTTTCCCACACAACTTTGTCACACGCCCTCTTTCACACACAACTTTCGCACACACCATCTTTCACACACCACTTTGTCACACACACTATCTTTCTTAGTCACACACCAGCTTTCACATACAACTTTGTCACACACAACTTTGTTTTACTTCTCGGTCCTCCACCACCTCCTTTGTCTTTCCTTCCTTCCCCGTCCCTGCTACAACATTTGGTGTTTTTTATTCAAAGAAGTTGTCTTGTGGGGTTATCCGGTCCTTTAATTTCCATATAGTGGGAATAGTCATCCCAACTGACTAATATGTTTCAGAGGGGTTGAAACCACCAACCAGTTACAGAGTTATAGATGATCAATGATGATCATAGATGCACATGGTGCGCATGGGATTCGCGGAATCCTTACAGTATGTATAGATCCAGTTCCATTCGGAAACTGAGTCCGGCAAGATTTTGGCAAGGTGGCCACTCTGCGGCCGGCAAAACTCAGTTGCGATAAGTTATAATAACTAGTTATTGACATGGGTATGGATCAATACCTATATATTAATACCATTTTTAGTGGGATGAACATCCATTTACCAGCTATTTTGATGTTCACCAGGGGTACAAGGTTTTGACACACTGCCACATAGTTATTCCAAATATTGTAAGGCTGTGAACTTGGAACTTCTAGCGGCCGCAGCCACAGTCGACCTGGCTTGCTTGCTGATGGACTTCCTGCACTGTTCCCATGAAGAGATTCACCCGCACTCGGTAACAGACTCTCTCTTTTAATACTTTTAACGGACATGAATCGCTCAGGCCACAAGTGCTGCTTTTTTGGGATCAGTGCAAAAAAAGAAAGCCAACTGTGCCAACTGGGTGGTTGAGTTTTTGCAAGTCACAACTGCAGAAAAGTTGGCTGTTGATCTTTAAGATTCAGAAGATTCACTGAGCATGGAGAAATCGCAACATCTTCTGCAAAGAACAGCTTCAATCATTCACGTCTCATCACTGGAGGACATCTGAAAATTTGCAGCGCCAAGGATTTGATGTTGTTCCATTTCTTCACATTCCTGTTTTTGAAAAACATCACTTCATCAATACTTCATCAATATCTACTAGGGATGGGTTGAGGAACTATGGAGATACTTCATCCCATGTGTAATTGAGATGATGGACTTTTCCAGCCTTTTGTATCATCATGCGTGCCCCGGCTCTGAGCCGCCTCGTCGAAGATTATGCACGCAAGAGTTGCCGCGCCTTTCCCTTGGAGGACCAGCACGGACCAGTCGTTTTCAGTACGATTGCTGGTCAAGTTTGATGCAAAACAAATCGTGTGAAAATTTCTCAGGTGTGTTATCCCATGACACTATTTAGATACTTATAGATACTATTGTCAGATATGTTATCCCATGGTATAGATGATACCAAGTTATCCCAGCTGAGATGATCTGACGCCAAGCGAGTCAGGAGCTTTACAGGCTCGGACGCGGGAGTTCAGAGCGCCTGCACTTGGCGCAATTGATTCATCAGGAGATCCCAAATCTGTGCAGTCAATTCACCATCCATGTACGATACAGTCCGATACAGTAGTAAATCTTGTAGAGCTTCCCACACCGGCGATGCAATAAGGGTTGTGGTTGTGGTTGTGGTTGTGGTTGTGGTTGTTGTTGTTGTTGTTGTTGTTGTTGCTGCTGTTGCTGTTGCTGTTGCTGTTGCTGTTGCTGTTGCTGCTGCTGCTGCGGCTGCTGCTGCTGCTGCTGGTGGCGGCGGCGGTGGTGGTGGTGGCGACAGTGGTGGTGGCGGCGGCGGCGGTGGTGGTGGTGGCGACAGTGGTGGTGGTGGCGGCAGTGATGATAGTGATTGATCCTGTGCTCTTGGCACGCTACAAGAACACTGTGATCGCGCAAAGCACCACGTAGCACCTGAAACAAACCACTGTTTTGTAAACCATCGTAAACACATGTGTTCCACATTTTAGTGCCCATAAAAGCATCATATTGGTTTTTCCCCACATTGACGTGTGGTGTTTTTGTTTTTAGTGCTGTATCCGCTCCTTCCTTCTCCTCCTCCTCCTCCCGCCAGTCCTCCCAAAAATCCTCCCACACGCACACACACATCACTCACTCACACATACATCACACACACACACATCACTCACACACTCACAGACTTGGTTGCCGGTGGCTTTTGCGTGGCAGGCACGGGACTTGGTGCACTGCCAAGGGGTCGGATGTACGCCCCGGTGTCCCTCTGGCGTCCCTTGGTCTCCGCCGCTCTGCCGGTGCCTTTTGCGTGGCAGGCGTGGGACAATGTGCACTGCCAAGGGCTCGGCTGTACGCCCCGTTGGCTTTGAGGCTTCACTTTGCTGCAGTGCTGTTGCTATGGTTGCCGTTGTTTTCAAGGATGTTTCCGAGTTGTTGTCGTGGTGCAAGTTTTCATGTTTCACCCACTTTGATTCGCCACACTTTACACTTTACACTCCACACTGTACACTTTACACTCCTCACTCCACACTCTACACTTTACACTCTACACTCCATACTCTACACTTTACACTCTACACTTTACACTCTACACTCCACACTCCACAATCTACACTTTACACACTCCACACTCCTGACTCTGCACTTTACACTCCTCACTCCACACTCTACACTCTACACTTTGCACTTTACACTCCACACTTTACACTCCACACTCCACACTCCACGCTCTACACTCCACACTCCACACTCCACACTCTACACTCCACACTCCACACTCCACACTCTACACTTTACACTCCACACTCCACACTCTACACTTTACACTTTCCACTCCACACTCCACACTCTACACTTTACACTCTACACTCCCCACTCCACACTTCACACTCCACACTCTACACTCCACACTCCACACTCCACACTCTACACTTTACACTCCACACTCCACACTCTACACTTTACACTTTCCACTCCACACTCCACACTCCACACTCTACACTTTACACTCTACACTCCCCACTCCACACTTCACACTCCACACTCTACACTTTACACTCCACACTCTACACTTTACACTTTCCACTCCACACTCCACACTCCACACTCTACACTTTACACTCTACACTCCCCACTCCACACTTCACACTCCACACTCTACACTTTACACACTCTACACTCCCCACTCCACACTTTACACTTCACATTCCTTACTTTACACTCCACACTCCACACTCTGCACTTTACACTCTACACTCCCCACTCCACACTTCACACTCCACACTCTACACTTTACACACTCTACACTCCCCACTCCACACTTTACACTTCACATTCCTTACTTTACACTCCACACTCTACACTTTACACTCCACACTCCACACTCTACACTTTCCACTCCACACTGCAGACTGGTAACAGGGGAAATTGCACAAGACTGTTCAAATAAACTATTGCAGAAAAGTGTTCTGCGTGACTGCATATCCCTGTGTTTCCACATCTGTACCATGAACATGCGTGTGAGCATTCGGGTTCGTGGGCTGCATCTTGTTTTTTAAACTACGTACCTCACCCACAAACCGCCCAAGAGTTGGTTAAGATCCATTGGACAAGGATGGTATTCTGCAGTGGGCTTGAGTTTCTATGAAGTTGCCACAATGCGAGAAAATTTGATTGCCTCAGGAGATTGCCATTCGCAATGCACAGTGTAAATCTCAGATTTTTGAATCATATGTTCATATGTTGCATTGTTTTGCATGTTTTTGAGAAGAGAGAGTTGAATTATGTTAAAATTATTCTTTCCAGGCTGTGCAAGGAACTTCTACTGCTACCCTTTGGTCTGGCGGAGACCAGTGGAGTTCAGAAAGTCGTCCAGTGTTTCAGCAGCTATGTGAAGTGGCTGTCAGAGTTTCCAGTTCCAAAGGAACAGGACATGGCATCTTTCACAGTTCTGCTGAAGCAGATCCTGCAGGCGGGATGAAACAAATCAAACAGCACCGAGATGCACAGAGTACCCGTGGAGCTCTGGACAGGACAATGCCGATGTGACGCGGACCATGAGCGGAGCCCTTTTGGAGGCGGTCAAAAATCCAGCGACACACGGCGCACTGGCGCACTGATTGTGACCCAGGTGAGATCCACCATGGGCGAAGCCAAGTACGAGGAAATTCGCTCGGAGGCGAAAAGAGTTTCCGGGTTGCCAGGGTTACTGCCAACTGGAGGTTTGCGGTTGATGTTACGTTACCCCGCTTAAATCCAATGGACTTTGATTGCTGCCTTCTTGGTGATGATTTCAACATTGAACCTCAGCAGACCCTGTTCAGCTCGTGCCTTTGAAGCTCAGGTGGACTTGATTTTCGATCGTTTCTTCATCAAACGCATTGGGCTTCGCTTCCTGATACAGCATCACATCGAAGCTGCAGAAGCTGCTGAATCAGCTCTCCTTCCAGGCAGTCCTGAAAATGGTTGCCATAGATTCACCAGAATTTCTTGGCTGTCTATCATTTACATTCTTAAATATTTACATTCATTTATCATGTTTATATCAGCACACCAATCATCACCAATCGGAATGTTTTCAACTATGTAAAGGAGTGCCGGTTTGGGTGGTTTTCCCACCTTTTCTGTTTCAAAATGTTTCAAATTGTATCCAAACAATGTCCATCCTGGCATCCATCGGTGCCCATTCCAGCCAACCGTGAATTACTCATGCCCCACTATAAGACGAAAAAATGTTCCTCTTTATTCCACACTTTGAGACAACCCAAATCAATAAACACCTCATAATTCATGTTTAGATTCTGTTAAACCCCTATAATTTGATGTTTAAATATGTTTAAAACCCCATTTTCTCCCATTAGATCGCCATCTTTGTGGATTTCCCCATTGAATTCCACTAGAAATCATAGAAATCATCTTGTCCCCATAGAAATCTGATGGAAATCCAATCGATTCATCGAGGTGCTTCAGGCATCATCCGCAGCATGGCGGTGGGGGAACTCCTGCGGGCTGCCGCGCAAGAGGCGCGTCGCGCCGTGCAGGAGGACCTGGGCTTGGCGTAGCTCGGCTGTTCCACCTGAAAATGATGTGAATTATGTACACTCTGGTTATGACAAACAATTTGCCATGGTATAGATGGCCTATTTATAGATTTTATAGTTGGTTTACCTGGGTTTACCTATTAATAGCATGGTGATTTTCCATGGCGAACTGTTAAATAACCAGAGGGTACTTTTAAGATCCTTTAAGATGCCGATACAGCCACTTGCGTTGAAGATTGTTCCAAGTTTCTGCGGATTCAGATTTTTTGTCAGGACCTGAACATCAAAAAACTGTGCCGCCTTCGTTGCTTTTGCTCCGAGTCTCCGAGGCCGCAGGTGGAAGTGATCGGCGATGGAGCTGAAATACCTTTAGTCCACGCCAACACCTTTGCGACTGGTTCCAGCTTATGCAAGGCGAGTTTCAACAACAGCGATTTCACCCACGTCACTGGGTGAAGTGGGAGATTGGCATTGCTGGCAGGGTTGAAGAACTCAATGCCTCACACCAAAAAAATTGCCTTGCAGTCCACAACCCCCAAAGGTCGGATGGGGTTCAGTTGGATGATTGCAGAAGATATTGCTGATTAGGTTTGTTTGATCTGAGGTCCCAAGTCACATTCACTTCATTTGTTACCAGCTGCTGCACAATGCCTGCCAAGCAACTGCCAAGAGATGGCAAGGACAATGGTGAAGCAGTTGCGGAGTTTGAACACTTTGAAGCACCAATTCATGGAGGATGTATCATCATGTTTTGAGTGCTTCAAATCATGGTATATCATCATGGTATTGTAGAGGAATTGCATCAATGATTTCTTGAGCATAATCATGGTGTATGATTGGTGGTTTGAAACATGTGTTTCCTCCTTTTACGATGATGATCCAAGAGATTCTATTGCTTTCATTTGTTGCTCCCAGGCAACAAAGATTTGTGGTGCTAGTTGATTTTTCTATGGCCATCCATCAAATCCGATGGAGGAGAAAGACTCCAGAAGCAGCGAGAATTGTTTTTGTCTGTTGCAACGGATGCAAAGCCACAGGTGCCGCAGTTGACATACTGAAAAACTATCCTAGCAGTCCTAGCATTCAGTTGATGACATGAAGGTCTTGTTGTTTGTTTCGTTTCATGCCGCAGTGAATAGACATGTGCTTCGTCCCTAACTTTTGCAATCGCCTGTCCTGGCACTTTGTGCTTCGTGTTCAGTCCGTGCCCATGGGCAAAGCAACAGTGGCGGGTTTCCCTTTTTCGGCCAGGCCGGTGGGTTCAAAATCTGTCCCCACCAGAATTGCAGAGCTTAAATGGGTATGGATCAATACCTATTAATACCATTTTTAGTGGGATGAACATCCATAAATCCCAGCTATTTTGATGTGAACAAAAGGGGTACTATTGGTTTTGACACACTGCCAAATGTAATGATTGTAATGTACTTCTCGACCAAGATCAAAATGATCAAATGATTCAGATGATTCAGATGAGCTGTTTGGGTATTCGATGTACCTGTAGTTCATGTAGTTTAGCTAATTTCTTGGAATCTGCGCCGATTTGAAGCAGGAGTGGCGTAGCAAAGTCTCCAGAAGGATTGGCACCCGTTCGGGCAATCTTCGCACATGGAAGCGACGAAGTATCAATCAAGGTCTCTGATGAGGGTGGTGGAAACTTGAACTTTGCCCACTTTGCCCATGGTGTTCCAATATTTGGGTTTGTCTGAAAATAGGCTATATTCCCAATGAAATAGCCATTTCATAGGGATAATGATCATTAACCATTGGGTACACAGGGGTACACAACATTTTCAGACACACCCATTTTGTGTCTCACAGGTTTCAGATGGTTTCAGCAGAATTTCGCCCAGGAATTCCTCGGAGTGAGTTGCCACAAGTCTGGAGCTATAGCCGAGCACCAGTGGATACCAGCTCTGAGAGCATTGAACGACTTGGTGTTGGTCTGCCATTGTCGCGACTTCACGTCACTGGACTGGAAGACAATCCACCCGGCCGTTTGGATCCATTTGGATCCATTTGGGGCTTTCTTAAAATGATCCAAAAAAAAGTCACCATGGCCCATGGCATGGGTCTCAAAATGTTTCAATACTCAACGGCTCAACAGTCTACTTTTGGATGGGGGTACACCCGTTTTAGGAAACCTCCATTTGTGGGATAGGGGATATACGGTGACAATGATGCAATACCCCAATTTCAGAGATCTAAGTCTAAGTAGGCCAATAACATCCAATAACCCAGTTTCCAGATTGGTCCGACCGGGCTGGTGCAGATAGATGGTATACAGTGCATACATGTTAGGTATACCTGTGAATTGCCCGTGGTTATGGCCAGTTTAATGAGAAAACCATGAGATATAGCATTGGAAATGAAGGTCCCCCAATTCCAGAGGAGCCAAACATGTTCAATGAATATCACTATATCACTATATCATACTTTATCACTGTGTCAACTGATGAACATAGGCAAGATACTATGGCGGCGACGTGGTGCTGAAGTCAATGGAAGGATTTGGCACGGATGTCTACGTTTTCTTAAACAGGCTGGATGGGCACCGCGACCTCACTGAAGTTGACGCATGGGATGAAGAGGAGCACCAGTTGTTTGGCACTTCACACGCAGTTCGGGTTTTTGGAGATGCAATTTTTTTCAGGATTTTCTCAGGCATTCCCCCAAAAAAAAACAGTAAAGTCAGTGATCATAGGAATTTCCAGCATTTCTTCCAGCATTTCTCGTGGCGAGGCTGGGGCACAGCTGCGAGAATTTGCCGCAGGGCGTTCGGTTGAGCCCGGCCCAGCAGGACTCCTCCATCACAGCTGAGGCCCGCATCACGGCTGAAGCGCTGGGCGACATCAGCGAAGCGGAGGCAGGGAGAGAATGGCGAAATGGCAACGGCAGCAACGCTGGAGAAACGAAAACGAAAACTGGGGATGAAAATTGATGAATTATATGATTAACACATTTAACACTGTCATTAATAACATCCATTTTCATCAGAAAATTGGGCAAACTGATGAATGAAAGTCACCAGGTCACCAGTTTGGTTGGGTTTGAAATGGTTTGAAGTTATATTGTGTCGCTTTAACTTCAACGAAAGCATCACATATGCTGATGGCACACTGCAGGTGGCGCATCTGACCCGTAGATTGCGAGAACGTCGAGCAAAAGCCCCGACTCAAGCTGAAATTGAATAAAAAGCAGCTTTCAACATGTGGATTTATTTGAAAATGGATGATACTTGCAGGACTATGATGGACTATGGAGATGTGATGGATATGGGGATCACACACCTCCAATTTTGGGCACCTGAAAATGTTGGGAAAACCCCCTTTCCCTGCCGTTTAGAAAATCACTTTCCCCATAGCTGCCATGGATTGGGGTGTATATCCTATGTTCAAAGGCACCGTCAGAGCATTGCGAAAGTCAAATTGCTTGGATACGCTACAGGTTTGCTGCTTTATTGCATCATGATTTGCAAATCCCATGATTTCGGTTGCTTGTTCTTTTCGATTTAAGCCATGTGAAGATGATCCATAGATTTGAAGATCAATTGGAAATCCAAAGATCAATGGATGCCTGAAATTGAGTGAATTCTATTGCCTGGGAAACCGCAGCCATATCTATCCGATAACAGATGCCCTCGGTGGCATCACACGCCATTTCAAATTACTATCTGTCCGAGACTGAAATCCATGAAGCATCATGAATGTTTGCCAAGGTAACAAGAATATTCACGAAAGAACTTTAAAGGTATTGTCAAGGTATTGTGAAGTGTCGACTGCAATTTTGAATGTAGATGTCAGATATGTCAGATGTGTCAGGTGTCGACTTTGGCTAATCGTGGCCTGCCGACGTCTTGGCCGTTCCGGTTGCGTCAAGATCTTGGAAGATCTCGGCGAATCACAAAACTCAGTGCCATGCAGTGCCTCGCAACAACAGCCTCGAGGTGACATAGTGCACAGACGCTGCGGATGGAAAGCACAGGCGAAACAATGGATATATTGAACTCATCAATTTGGGCAATATCCAACAATATCAACAATATCAACAGTTCTAATTATCCAACAATATCAATTTGGATAACCCAACAGATAATTATCTTGATATTGTTGGATAATTTGGGCAACGAGATACTCAAAGACACTTCTCTGAGTTCACTGAGATCAGGAAATTTCACAGAGATCGCTCTAGCGGCTCTACCCATCTCTGTATTGCTGTAGCCTCAGCACAGCGTACAGTTGCGACATGTTGCGACTCATCACTGCACTTGCTGAGGGCATTCTTCATCGCGCGTGCAGGATTCTCATATGAGTTTGTTTGCAACAATGGCAACTTTCTCATTGTCCCGTGCTTCATCTTGGCTGCTGAAACTGTTGAAGTTGAATGATCTGTTTTTCATCGTCTCCAATTGAGGTGGTTCTTCATGGCTTTTCGGACGACATCCTCAGGCATTGCCGGTCCAAAACCTCGATGCCCTCCACGGAGCGACAGTCAGCGGATCGCATGTCAGGTACTTCTCCATGGACTTGCTGGATGATGCTTCCACATTGATCGCATGCTGTGTTGGGTGCCCTGGGATGCCCTGGGTGCTCAGATGTCCAAAGGATCTAAGATCCCGGGTTTTTTTTCCATAGAAGGGCTATCCCCAGCTGGATGGTTTTTTTTCCATAGAAAATCCCAATCTAAAATGGGTAACAGCTGGGGGTACCCCCATGACTTACGAAACCTCCAACATATCCAAAACAACATACCCGAAAATCTTTGAACCGATTGAGTCAAACATCATATTGACCAATTTTTACCAAGGCAGGAGCCTTTCTGTGTCATAGACCCGCACCAAGTGGCATCCTCGGTACAGATTGGCAGACCGTTCGTCGCTTCGCCGGGTCACCCCCTGCTGTGTTTTGAGGCGACGCCAATGAGATCAAGCTCAGACTGCCATACTTCGCGTTGTGATGAAATCACCTCCATACCACCTTCATACCACGGTTTGAAGCTATCTATATAGCATTAGCTGATTAGCTATACGATATAGCATCATATACAACAATATCCTGATCATATATCAATGTCTCAGATAAAGATGTGAGAGTTTCATGATTTTCATGGAGGATGCACTGGAAAGCTTCAAACTAATCCCGATGTAGCGATGCGATGCATAGAGGTCACTCTCCGATGTTGAGAGGTGACCTGCGTGCAGAGGAAAAAGTTGAGCAACCCTTGAGATGGGCAGTGTCAGAAGCTGTGTCAGAAGCCATTGAAGCCATGCCACAATTCGCTGTGTTGAACTGCTCGTTGTGACATGTTGAATCCCATTCTCTGAGAACTGTTCGAACATGCGTGGCTCTTTTTCAATGCCACTCTGCAGCAAATTTCATCTCCCAAGCCTGACAGCTGCCAAGTACTCTGATTTGCTCCAATTCAAGTGGCAGATTGACTCAGAGATGGCAACAATTGTGAAGTGGACAATTCTCAATTCTACGAATGGACGCGTTGTGATGGGTCGGCACCTCGCTCCCGACGCCGAAAATCAACTCGCTTTCAGCGCCGACAATCGACTCGCTCTCGACGCCTTTTTATTGACATCGACAACATGATAACATCAACAACAAGAACAAAATCAACAGCAGTCACCAAATCGACAACACAAAAACACTAACATACACAACAACATCATCAACATTCACATCAACATGAACACCAACAGGAACATCAACAACAAAAACAAAAACAACAACAACAACAACAACAACAACAAGAACAAGAACAACAAAAACAAGAACAATAGTTAATAAATACATATGTGTATATATCTATATATATATATATTCGGGATATTGTTAAGTCTTTTTGTAGACATAACTTTGACTTGGGGGGCCACCTTGGCTTAGCCAGTGCTCGGATGAGATGGAAACAGTTGAGAAGAACTTACTTAGACGCGATGCGATAAGAGATGGGATGAGGTGAGAAGAGCTGAGATGCGGTGAGAAGAGCTCACATGTTTTGAGATGAGATGAGATGAAGCGTTGATTGCGAAGCGCAAGTGTGAAGTGCAAGTGTGAATTGTGCAGAGTGCAGTTTGAAGTGTGAGGTTATATTCTTGGACAACATCCGTGCAACAGCGTTGCGCAAAGCTCGCACAGGCCTAGCTGGCGTTGTTGGCGCAGGACAGGTGAAATGAGTTGAGACGAACCTCAAGTACCTGAATGTAAAGAGCGAAGAGTGGGATAAGTTGAAGTTGGGATAGAATCTCTATAACTATGGCATACATCCGCTGAAACGTGGCATTGTCTTCCAACTATCTTCGTTAAGTCTTCTATGATCTCCCATGAGCAGCAAGAACAACGACAATAACAAACACAAGAAACAAAAATAGAACGAGAACAAGAAAAGCAATACCGAAGACGACGACGACGACGATAACAAGAGCCGACAGAAGCCGAGAAAAGCCGACAAAAGCCTACACAAGTCGACAACAACAACGACAACAACAGCAATACAACGACATCAATTTCAACAGGAACCGCAGTACAAACATTTACTAGCATGCGCTTTCTGACATGCTGTGTCGGAGGAGTTTCTACTGTTGTGTACGCACTTTCCACATCCTGCATCCCCTGCTTCGATTTGTTCTTGGTGCGGCGTTCCCCTATGCGTGTGTTGTGTCCGCGTCCCCGTGGTTATATATTGCAGGTATTAGTCTGCAATGCGTAGGTCGTGTGCATAGGAACATGAACGTTATCATCCCACCCCACCCCACCCCACCCCACGGGTAACTGATCATGAAAGAGCAGTGCGTGTAAGTGCTCTACAGCAAGAAAGATGATGAGGTTGCTGTGCGTGTGGCAAGCATAGGAACATGAACCTTATTAACTCACCCCACCCCACCGGTAACTGATCATGAAAGAGCTGTGCCTGTCTCTGCTCAACAGCAAGAAAGATGATGAGGTTGCTGTGCCTGTGTGTGCATAGGAACATGAACGTTATCATCCCACCCCACCCCACCCCACCCCCCCCACCCCACGGGTAACTGATCATGAAAGAGCAGTGCGTGTAAGTGCTCTACAGCAAGAAAGATGATGAGGTTGCTGTGCGTGTGCAGGCATAGGAACATGAACCTTATTAACTCCCCCCACCCCACCGGTAACTGATCATGAAAGAGCTGTGCCTGTCTCTGCTCAACAGCAAGAAAGCTGATGAGGTTGCAGTGCATGTGTGTGCATAGGAACATGAACGTTATCATCCCACCCCACCCCACCCCACCCCCCCACCACCCCCCCCCACGGGTAACTGATCATGAAAGAGCAGTGCGTGTAAGTGCTCTACAGCAAGAAAGATGATGAGGTTGCTGTGCGTGTGCAGGCATAGGAACATGAACCTTATTAACTCACCCCACCCCACCGGTAACTGATCATGAAAGAGCTGTGCCTGTCTCTGCTCTACGGGAAGAAAGATGATGAGGTTGCTGTGCCTGTGTGGCATAGGAACATGAACGTTATCATCCCACCCCACCCCACCCCACCCCCCCCACCCCACGGGTAACTGATCATGAAAGAGCAGTGCGTGTAAGTGCTCTACAACAAGAAAGATGATGAGGTTGCGGTGCGTGTGCAGGCATAGGAACATGAACCTTATTAACTCCCCCCACCCCACCGGTAACTGATCATGAACGAGCTGTGCCTGTCTCTGCTCAACAGCAAGAAAGCTGATGAGGTTGCAGTGCATGTGTGTGCATAGGAACATGAACGTTATCATCCCACCCCACCCCACCCCACCCCACTGGAACATGAATGAGAGATGAAGTGTTGTTCCTTGAAGGCTTTCTCAGTGTTGATCATTTGCCGTGTAATGTTTGTTTATGATGGGTTTCCAGAAGTGACGCCTCAGTACCAATGGGGAAACGGAAAATCGACTCGCCCTCGGCGCCGAAAACTGCTTTTTGTGTTGGAAGTGAGTTGGTTTTTGGTGTTGGGAGTGAGTTCATGGTGTTGGGAGTGAGTCGGTGTTTGAAGTGAGTTGATTTTTGGTGTTGGAAGTGAGTCGTTAACCGTTGTGATGTGTTCTTGTTTTTCTTGTTTTTCATGTGCACATTCGATCATTCGATCATACTTGGTTAGGTATGAATGGCGGAGGTGGCGGAGGAAGAAAAAGGTGGGTCATATGGGAGTCGTTCTAACCCCATGCGGATTGGAAAACGATTGGAAAACTAAATCGTTTGCATCCGGTGTTGACAAATCTATAGTAAACATGTGTTTCCAATTCGTATAAATGATGTTTTCAATGCAACCCTAATGTACGGCTTTATTACCAAATGTGCACACGGAAACATGATAATACTTCCCTGTCCCGATTCTGCTTGGGTGCCCTTTAGGGGGCGAAAAGGCGGCGAAAATTATCCATATGGGGGAATCAATGATTGTTGAACCATACATTGATTGTTTGATGATGCTTGGTGGTTCGGACCTGATTGGGATCTAATTTGAAGGGAGTTTCCTGCCAAATGTTCTTTCGTTTCAAGGTGATTGGATGAAGAATGTGCGCCACCTGGATGTTTAACTGTTCCCACATCTTGGCAGGTTAGATTGTCCACACTAGTCAGTGAGTCCCTTCATAGAACAAGAGTGCATTTGGCAGTCAAAATGTTTGCAAAGGATATCCCACCCATAGTGTCCTTCCACCGCAGATTGTTTTCAGACAGTCTGGTCATGACCCAAGAGGACTGCTACAGATCTGTGACCCAGAGCCACCCTCACACCAGCATTACATTGCGATCTGTGACCCAGAGCCACCCTCACAACTAAACTTCCTTTGAATATTTTTTTGATGCAGTAATTATTTTTTTCGATGCGCCCGAATATTTTTTCTTGATTAGGTAATTATGTTTTTTTGATCCCTTACCCGCTAATCTTTCAGCCAACTGCTGTGCATCTTTGCTCACATTTTTTTAAATCAAACCTGTCACCCCATCCTCAAAGAGGTTGTTGATTGAAGAATATGTCAAAAACCTCATTGTTCGGTGAGTTATCCCCTTGGCAGATGACTTCCTAGCGTGAGCGAGTGTTCTCCTGGCCACCTATAAAACGATCACTGCATCCTGGCCCGTATGTTCAGATCTCGAGGATGTGTGGCTTGCGCAACGTTTCTAGGGTCCCTAGACATTTTTACACACAAGCAAAAGAACACATAGAACTGTCAGAACTGTCATGAGTTAATAGACATCTAAGATTCCTCCAAGGAGACCGGAGATTCCTCGACTTTGCGAAGAAGGTGCCGGAGCTTTGAGATGTAGCAGTTGGGAGCCTGTTTGAAGGGGCAAAACATAGTACTGTTTGAGCACGAAGCTTCAGGTTTTGCGTAGGCAGTGAAAGCGGCTAGTGACGCTGCCATTGATTTTGTTTGCCGCGCCGGAAACTTGCATGTCCTCTTCTGGAGATGTGCACAGGTATGGAAGATGTTCTCGAGCGGCACGTCTGTTCTTTTCTGCTTCGGCAGTTCATACACATACACTCGCACACATACACATGCACACAACACATAGCGCATGCATTTAGGTGGCCACACAACGCACACACACACACATGCACACACACACATACACACACACATTTTCACGCACGATTCTATCACACACATACACACTACTTTTACGTACTATTGCATACATTCCTTTCACGCACCTCCCTTCGACATACATTCGTTGCACACGCCGATCCTTCACCATCTCTTTTCTTTTTCCTGCGTGTCCCATTCCATCTTTACCTTTCTTTTGCTGCTTATTGGTAGAAGTTGACATGTGGGGTTATCCGGTCCTTTAATTTACGTTTATCCCTGGCTGGTGATATATAGAGACTTTTGCAGGCCGTGACGCGAAAAGTTGAATCTTTAATCTGACGCATGGGTTGCTCGGATGAATTTCACAGATTCGCGAAAAGTTTTCAGACTTTGGTGACGGTCTTGGTAAATTATGCTTTATTGATCTTTATTGACATCATTTGCCATGGCTCTTCAAATTCCTGCGGGGGTGTCACAATTCAGCTGCTGGATTTCAGTTTTGACTCTGTCGCCAAAGTTTGTTGCGTCTTATAGGTCCTATTAGAACTGACTCGATTCGTGCCATGGCCAGAAGATGCATCTTCAACGTCTAGAGGCAAGGCAGAGGACAGTGGAATTCAAAATGTTATTTGTAGTTTTGGTTTTCATGCTGCAAGCACCGATGCAGCCTGCGCACGGGGCCAGATCTAACGATAATAAAGACATTGGCACCGGGCCAGATCTAACGTCTGAACCTTTAGACGTTAAAGATATTGGCGAGAGACAGATGGCGGCGAATTCAAAATACAATTTGTTTTGCGCTGCAAACACAGATGCAGCTGCATCTTTCGCATGAAGCGATGCCGAACCAGAGAGGTTGAGAAGCCCTGCCGTGAAGAGGCTTCAAAAAGAAAGAATCTCCAGAACCCCCTCATGTTTTGTGCGAATTCTGTTGCAGTTGCAACTCCACTCGCCAAACCGAGAGTGTTTTCTGTTAACTTTTGCTGCTGCTGTTTTGCTTGTGGTCCAAAGTCCAGCGGGAGACTCCACCTTCACGAACATCAATCTGTATGAGTTTGAATGATCTTGAATGGACGTGAGCGAGATGAGAAGCATGCAAGTCTTACATTGTATTACAACGTACTTGGATCAGGGACTGTGTCCCAACATGGCATGACACGCTTCCTCTCGTGGGGCATGTAAACTCGATCTCAGATCTCCTCCAGATCAGTGATATCCGTATCCCATAATATTGAATGGTTCAAGGGTGCTAAGAGTGCTCACAGAAGGTGGTGATAAGATCTTCAAGTTGAAGCTACCTGATACAAAGGCAATGGCTGAACTTCCGATAAAGTGTCAAGACATATCCAAACCAACTCCAACATGTTTGTTTTGTATGTTGTTTCATGCTGTTAGAAAGAGGTTGGATGAGGACATATCCCTTGTATTCCCCCCATCAGCCATGGCAATCGAACTGCAATATGTGTCCTTTGCGCTGCCTCGAACGTCGGGTCAGCCCGCCCCAGCGGCCTTTTGGTCAACTCGAGCCGAGGTGGGTCTTCCCAGTATGTTGATCAAACCACAACCAAATTGATGTCCAAAATCCAAATGTAACGGCCATCAGTTCATAATATGTGGTCAGATGCCATCAGATGCCATCAGCTGTCACCATGTGTCACATGGATCATATGCATCATATGGCCTACTCACCAAAGCATCACCATCCCCTGTTGTGGATGCATCTGAGTCGTGAGACCTCGTGAGATTGTTGCTGGTGCATGTGAGTTCTGAATTTTGCCGCGCAGCTTGAAGAAATGGAAAGAGTGACGCTGCTGGATGTTGAGGCGATCCACCAGCAGGCGGGCACGCGCATCGATGTGCGCTATCTCATGTTTCGGAAGCCAAGCACTTCAATGATCTTCAGAGTTGATGAGGTCCAAGTCAGAATTAGTCCGGTCCTTGTTGCTTTCAGGAAAGTAGCAAATCAGTTGAAAAGAGAGCATGTGCCTTCATTCGGTGTGCTGAACAGCAGAAATCGGATCACATCCAAGCAACATCTATAGACCAAAGGAGGTCATAGTTAGGTCTCATTCACACAATTGCAGGAAAACAAAGAAATCCACCCAGAATCACCCAGGGGTAGAAGCAGCAGAAGATTCACCCATCACAGAGCAGGGCATTGCAGGGCAAAAACGTATTGTAGCTTTTATTCCCACCATCGATGTCGCAGGAACATTTTGAGTGCCAGAACACACATCGCCAGGGAAATAAGCCCTCCAAGTGTGATACAGTGCCGAAGGAAAGTGACAAATAGTTTCACGTGCTCCTGGGCAGGCGAGGCGGCATCGAAGAAGGGCTCGACACTTTGGGAAGATCTTTGCCAGGCCTGATACCCTGTTGGCCAACTGAAGAGGTAGTTGCAGATAGTCTTGGCGGAAGGTCGAGAAGGAAAATGGTGGTTTTCCTTTCGGTTTTTTGGCTGAGGCTGCGGAGAGTCTTTTCGCATGCTGTAGCAATGGGGTGGTTCAATGAGGCGGGGCATCAACGTGGATTGGTTTTGCAAATTGATGCAAATTGATTCCATTTCGCAAGGCCAAGAAACGGCATTTCGTTCGGCAGTTTCTGTCCGGCCCCCAACGCCGATCTGAACTCAGCTATAGGCAGCTACTCCCTCTATTTTCGAATCCCAACCCACAATAACCCACATCCAAATCATGATTTGATGGCATGGCTCCGATGCGCTACACAAGGCTCTCTGGAACACGTGAGATGCAAAGGAGCTGTTTGATATGCTGAGATACATTTCTTATTATTTCTTGAAATCACGCATTTGTTGATTTTTTGACTAATTTTTGGACTAAATTACTAAAGCTCTATCCATTTCTTGTGACAACGTTAGTGAATTGAGACATCCACTGGACCTTGGCACCCAACACCACCAGGGGTTCTTACTGAAACTGTGCAGGGGGTCTCCAAAAATCATGCGTAGGTCAACTACAAATGTTACCCCAATTAGTACACTCATTGCTCGGAGGTGACATTCCATCCCACTCTTGAAATTCCAAGAAGTTCGAGGTTTGTGGCACTCAGTTTGCCTCACTGACTTGGGTAGTACAACCAATAGACTAGTGATCACTATTTTTCCAAGAAAAGAGCAACAAAAACCACAATCAACTAACTTGACATACAGTAATCATCACCATTACAAGAAAATTGATCATTTTGATTAATTTTAGATATATGGTCCTGTCCTTATGTGGTTATTATGATTGTAAGCTAGGATTATCCTCTAATTCATAACAAAGAAGGATCACTAAAACATATTTAAATTAGGATCTCCGGACATGTATCTACTGTGCAACACAGGATTAATGTCATAAAAGCCATTGTTTACAGCTACTCTGTTTCCATTGAAAGCATCAACATTAATCGGTTATCATTGGTTTATACAAATTCTTTATAGTTGGTCATGTCATGTCGCAAAAAAACAACGAGCATCCTAGCCCATCTTGGCCAGGAGCACCATATCCGTTGCATCCAAGGTGGGCCCCGTCAGCCATGAGTTTATGCCCTGCCATGGATTGATGTTTGCCAAGCCCAAGGTTTTTCACAGCACATTTCAGAAGTGCGATTAAAAATTGAGGATATAGTCGGGGCGCCATTTTACAACTCGATGGAGCTATGAAAGTATACGGTAGTGGATCTGGGATGATCTGGGCACACCAAACAGGGCTCGGAGGACGCTATCGACCCTGGGGAATTAGGATCGAAAAGCCCAAGGAGCCAAGAAAATTTGGATGATAAAACCATATAAAACCGTGCTTACTATCAATATTCCATGATATTCCAATGTTGGGATTTGTCCCGGATTGTCTTGGTTCCCCTGGCGGCCAGATCTAGATGAATGCCAAGATGCCCGTGCGCCTGTGTGCCCAGCATTACATATGAGTCGTCCCAGCTGAACCACGACGTTTGCAGATGCACGACCACCTCGTTGTCAAAGGCTCCAGTGGCTCATTCCATCATTCAAAGCACGATTAGTTGCAGGAGCTTATTGATTTTTATTGATGTATGTGTAGGAGAAACATACAAAACACACAAGCAATCTGATAGCAAAAGTTGTTCGGAAGTAGAGTGACCCAAGTGACCCAAAGCTACACCAATAGTCATATCAGCTTGTAATCAGCGAAAATCTGGGGCTGCGGGTCAGCTGAAAGCCATGGAACGCACAGTGGTGAAGCTCACCGTGAAGATCTCGGGTTTGGGGATGCATTGGGATGGCCTTTACATAGTGTCTTTGACTAAAGTTGAAGCAGATATGGCAGATAAAATGCGTAAAATGATATGAGAATTATGAGATGATATGTTTTTTGATGTTGAAAGTGCAGCATTTTATCCATCTCAGGAAGACCACCCCACCGCTGTGAAATATACCAACAAGTTTGGGGAAGAATCTGTCCAAATGCCGCGGGCTCAGTTGCTCACCATTCGTTAGGGAACATGCCATTGACACGCAGACAGTGCTTAGGTTCAAGTCCTTCCGAGGACAGGGCTAACGGTCTGGGAGAAATCAAGCTCATAAGTATTAATCAAAGGAAGTTTAGAAGTCAAACTTCCGACAATATGGACAGATGGAAAAGCAGAGATGGGAAGAGTCAGAGAGGAGAAGAGCAGAAGAGAGAAGATCAGAGAAGAGAAAGAGTCAGAAGAAAGAAGATGCAGGTGCGCGAAAAGGTAGGAAAGTCGCGAAACACTGTGTTTTTCCAATGATTTGTGGCTCCGGAGGGTCGAAAAGTAGGCGTAGCCCGAAGCGATGCACTCGACGTATCCCGAAGGGAGACCCTTTTCCGTTTTTGATGCTGTCGCAATTACGTGGCTTAGAAGGCCTGCCTATGGGGGACAGACAGATGCTGCTGGTTGTGTGCCTTCTGGTTGGTGGAAGTATTTCAACAAAGCTGGTTTCGTCGGTGTGCCGGTTGCAATTTCCAAATATCATGGTGGTTTGAGTAACAATAGTTTGGGGACTTGTGTGCAGACTATTCATGTGAATGCAGAAGCAGATGCGTGAGCGGGAGGCAAACACCTCCCACATGTCAGTGGCGATCGGGTACACGGGTCGGAGCACCCGGACCGCAAGGTAGGTGAAAGCAGCCGACTGTCTTTTCTGACCGGTTCATTTTCGAGCAGCCTAGCCTCTGGTGTGTTTTTTCTGACCGCCAATAAATTCTGCAACTCAAAACCGATCCGACGGACGATGTCGCAGGGTGGTTTGCCTTCGTGGTTTCTTCGCAGCTGTTCCACCGTACCTTCGTTGAGATGTTTGGCAATTTGGGCATTGTTGCCTGAAGAGAAGCTTACAGAAGCAATGCGTCCCATTCTCTGACTCTAGAGCATGCTTGACTGAGGGATCATGAAATTACTCTAGAATCACTAGAATCCGCAAATCTGCCGATGACTTCTGCTGATTTCCGCAGTGTTTGATTTGCACGGCCGCTCACGGTGTCCGGCCGCTCACGGTGTCGGATTTGCCAGTCTGACTCCCAGCCACGGACAGTTGTCACGCAACTGCTGAATTGTGTTTTTTAAATGCCCAGAACTATTCTAGTTGGAAGTGTTGTGATGCATCCTCGTTGTTTTTCATGTGCATATTTGGTCTTCTGAGATGTCCTCTTCTGATGAATCACCGCAGAGTCCGACATCGCCGAACGCCAGGCGGATCATATTATTTGATGTTTTTGAGCATTGATTGCGAAAACCATCCAATTGAAGATGTGGAGCATTGGATAAAACATGATTAGGTGGTTGGTGTCTTCACTTGTTTTCTATGTTTCAATCTGCTATAAGGATGATCTTAGTCGATGATTTTTTCGGGTCGGCCACTGCCCTCCGCAAAGGTGGACGGACAGGTGCGAGGACTGCACGGCAGCCCCATGGCTGCATCTCTTGAGCAGCGTTCAAAACTGCTATACTACGTAGAGACTCAAGGGCACGTTTAAACTGATTCATGCTAGCGAAAGCCAAAAACGATATTGCGATGGATTGCTTTTTTGTTTGTTGTTTTCTTGTTTTCCAGCCTGGTTTTATGGCTTTGGTCGCTTTTGTGGCTTTTGTCTTCTCGGCTCCTTAGGTTGTTTCTTTAACCTTTGTTGTTTTTGGTTTCTTGTTCTTTTGGCTTTTGTGGTTTCTTGGCAGTATGCTGCAACTGTCGTTCCGATAACCAGTAAAACATCAATGGGAACTAAAAAACAAAAAGGTATAACATTGCAATGTTTTCAAGTAAGGCAAGACACAATCCAACAATTTAAACTTCTGGACAATGTTGATAGCATCCAATGAAACTATTTACATCCAATACATCCAAAAGCGTTGTGCCTCAACTTACGTTCTATACATGTATACATATCTATCTATCCTATCCTATCCTATCCTATCCTATCCTATCCTATCCTATCCATCTATCCTATCCTATCCT